ATCTATATATCTCTCTCTCTCTCTCTCTCTCTCTATCTATATCTATATATCTCTCTCTCTCTCTCTCTCTCTATATCTATATCTATATCTCTCTCTCTCTCTCTCTCTCTCTCTATATCTATATCTATATCTCTCTCTCTCTCTCTCTCTCTCTCTCTCTCTCTCTCTCTCTCTCTCTCTCTCTCTCTCTCTCTCTCTCTCTCTCTCTCTCTCTCTCTCTCTCTCTCTCAAAATGAGTTCCTCTAGCCTCTCCTCATAGCTCTTGTTTTTCAGGTCCGTAATCCATTTAGTGGTATGCCTTTGTACCTTTTCCAGTTTACAGATGTGTTACTTGAGAAATGGGCACCATATAACCTATTCATGTTGCAATTGTGGTCTTACAAAAGTTGTGAACAATATCTTTGGCATTTCACTATGAATATATTTAAAAATGATTCTGAAGTTGGAAAGTATAGCATAGGCTCCTTGCACAATGCCATTTATGTGGTCTTCTGGTGACAAACTGCTATCCATAACATTCTCTAGATTTCTTTTTCTTGTCAGAGTTCTTTAATACAAAATAACTAGTTTGTGTTGTACATATTTTCTCCTGTTCCATCTGTTTAGAAAAGAATGAATGCCTGCATCCATGGTTGGAGGCTAGATGCTTGGGGCTAGCCTCGCCAACTTTGCACGAGAAATGGTCTGGGGGTAAAGGACTGACATAGGATGGTTAGGGTTGCCAGAATTCAAGAGGGAACAGCATGCCAGATAACCCATTCTGACTGCAACGATAATTTTTAGCACTGCTCTCCTGCTACACCTAGCTAAATAATTTAAAAGCAAATGTTTTTCTTATAGTAAATAATATACACCCTTTATTGACTAATCTTGGGGAAAATAAAACATTTTCTGCTATTCATATTTTGGCTGTAATAATATAAAATAATCTTCCCACAGCTTCAAAGCAAATGGTTAATTATTATATTTTGTAAACATTTCACACTGCTAAGCTGATCCCATCAGCGGAACACCTTCACGTCAATGATAGACTATATTATTTATCTAAGAGAGACAAACATCTTCCTGTAAAGAGACTGGGTTGACCAGGGCAGAATGAGACAGGAAAGGAGACAACATACAACACACAAAGGAGAAGGGGGGAATGTTAAGGGAGAAAGGGAAGAAAGCTGGAAAGGGGAAGAGTTGAGGGATAGAGAAAGAGATGGGAGGGTGTGGGAAAGACCCAGCATAGGTGGGGAGGAGATGGGAAGAGAGGATAAGAGAGATGAGAGAGGAGGGAAGTTGAGAGAGAGAGAGAGAGACCCAAGCATAGGCAGGTACCCTTCCCCTCTTCCTTAGTATCCCATAATGTGGAATTTGTTCACATTGAATACTATTTGCAAAGTGTTGCTCCATAAATTTATTCTGTCTTGTTCATCTTGAATCTTTCCTAGTAGCTTAGGATCGTTGGCAAGCATGTTCATATAATTCTGTATTTCCTCTGGAAGATCATGTATAAAGACAATGAACATTACTGATGCAAGACCTGAACACTGTGGTATACGACTAGTGACATATTAGTGCTTACTTATTAATGAGCACGGGTGAGCTCGAGCTTTTAATAGTCTCCTAGCCATTTATACCTGGCATGCTAACTCTCTCGACATTAATTTTTCATCATGTATGTTGTTTGAAGCTGTGGATGGAATTGGCTTCAACAACGTCCTCTTTCAGTGCATTTAATATGCCAACCAATCATACACTCAACCTAAATTGCTGCACAGCCACATCAGGAGAAAAATCCCAGTGAAGGAACAGGTAATGAAACTGAGGATAGGGTTAGCCAGATTCACTACAAATGACGAGGAAGTATGCAAGGAACTCGAAATTCCAGGTCTTCACATTAGAGCAAGGAGAAGGTCCAGAGGTAAAGAGAGGGAATAGATAACCAGGCACTGCTAGAAGAGTTCAAGATTACCAGTGGGGAGGTATGGAAGCTTCTGCTAGAGTTGGATGTGACAAAGGCCATAGGCCCAGATGGAATCTCACCATAGATACTAAAGGAAGGAGCAGAAGCACTGTGCCTGCTACTATCTATAGTGTTTAACAAATCACTGGTAACAGGTGAACTGCTAAAAATCTGGAAGACAGCTGAACTTCAACTCTAGCAGAAGCTTCCATACCTCCCCACTGGTAATCTTGAACTCTTCTAGCAGTGCCTGGTTATCTATTCCCTCTCTTTACCTCTGGACCTTCTCCTTGCTCTAATGTGAAGACCTGGAATTTCGAGTTCCTTGCATACTTCCTCGTCATTTGTAGTGAATCTGGCTAACCCTATCCTCAGTTTCATTACCTGTTCCTTCACTGGGATTTTTCTCCTGATGTGGCTGTGCAGCAATTTAGGTTGAGTGTATGATTGGTTGGCATATTAAATGCACTGAAAGAGGACGTTGTTGAAGCCAATTCCATCCACAGCTTCAAAACAACATACATGATGAAAAATTAATGTCGAGAGAGTTAGCATGCCAGGTATAAATGGCTAGGAGACTATTAAAAGCTCGAGCTCACCCGTGCTCATTAATAAGTAAGCACTAATATGTCACTAGTCGTATACCACAGTGTTCAGGTCTTGCATCAGTAATGTTCATTGTCTTTATACATGATCTTCCAGAGGAAATACAGAATTATATGAACATGCTTGCCAACGATCCTAAGCTACTAGGAAAGATTCAAGATGAACAAGACAGAATAAATTTATGGAGCAACACTTTGCAAATAGTATTCAATGTGAACAAATTCCACATTATGGGATACTAAGGAAGAGGGGAAGGGTACCTGCCTATGCTTGGGTCTCTCTCTCTCTCTCTCAACTTCCCTCCTCTCTCATCTCTCTTATCCTCTCTTCCCATCTCCTCCCCACCTATGCTGGGTCTTTCCCACACCCTCCCATCTCTTTCTCTATCCCTCAACTCTTCCCCTTTCCAGCTTTCTTCCCTTTCTCCCTTAACATTCCCCCCTTCTCCTTTGTGTGTTGTATGTTGTCTCCTTTCCTGTCTCATTCTGCCCTGGTCAACCCAGTCTCTTTACAGGAAGATGTTTGTCTCTCTTAGATAAATAATATAGTCTATCATTGACGTGAAGGTGTTCCGCTGATGGGATCAGCTTAGCAGTGTGAAATGTTTACAAAATATAATAATTAACCATTTGCTTTGAAACTGTGGGAAGATTATTTTATGTTATTACAGCCAAAATATGAATAGCAGAAAATGTTTTATTTTCCCCAAGATTAGTCAATAAAGGGTGTATATTATTTACTATAAGAAAAACATTTGCTTTTAAATTATTTAGCTAGGTGTAGCAGGAGAGCAGTGCTAAAAATTATCGTTGCAGTCAGAATGGGTTATCTGGCATGCTGTTCCCTCTTGAATTCTGGCAACCCTAACCATCCTATGTCAGTCCTTTACCCCCAGACCATTTCTCGTGCAAAGTTGGCGAGGCTAGCCCCAAGCATCTAGCCTCCAACCATGGATGCAGGCATTCATTCTTTTCTAAACAGATGGAACAGGAGAAAATATGTACAACACAAACTAGTTATTTTGTATTAAAGAACTCTGACAAGAAAAAGAAATCTAGAGAATGTTATGGATAGCAGTTTGTCACCAGAAGACCACATAAATGGCATTGTGCAAGGAGCCTATGCTATACTTTCCAACTTCAGAATCATTTTTAAATATATTCATAGTGAAATGCCAAAGATATTGTTCACAACTTTTGTAAGACCACAATTGCAACATGAATAGGTTATATGGTGCCCATTTCTCAAGTAACACATCTGTAAACTGGAAAAGGTACAAAGGCATACCACTAAATGGATTACGGACCTGAAAAACAAGAGCTATGAGGAGAGGCTAGAGGAACTCAATTTGCCAAAGGTGGGAGATGGAAGAACTGATATGATCACTCCACACAAAATTGACAAAGATGAATTCTCTAAACCTAAAACATCAAGAACAAGGTCATAGACTTACTTTAGTTAAATTGGAGAATCGACAAGCTGGATTTCATTGCTCACCCGTACAAAGGCCAGATTTTTTTTTTTCCAAAAAATATATTTTAGTGGGAACAATTTTCAAGGGTGCACTGTATACTCCAACAATAGTTTTAACTGAACTTGAAACATCACTGCCTCCATACGAATTTATCTTGGAGCCATTGGATTACCAGGCCAATACAGTAACCATCTGCCTACTGCATTGTGCTCTACATATTTTCCACATTTCCACATGCTGGTTCACACGCACACATGTACAGGACTGTCATAAAACATTGTTTTAATTACCAACCTAACTTTATTATTTTTATTTTGACCATTTTTTATTTAATGCTAATATTTGTGTAATATGTTGACCAGTCCTCTTAAAATAACGTTACTTTTTTCCCGTATACGCACTATGGCCAAACATGGACGTAATTTGATATGAAATCTGTGCACGAAAGTGACGTACTGTCCTGTTTTCTGTGTGAATCCTCTGACTTACTCGGTTAGGTTAGGAGAGTAAACTTTCGATTAATGGTTTTCATGATGTTTTGAAACCTTACAAGAACTTCCTGCCCTCCTAACCTACCAGACTTGCCGTTTTGAAAAAAAAAAAAAAAAAAAAAAATTATTTTCAATTATATTCCATTTTCAAATGATGTCCATTTTAGGCCATACGGGTAAACAGCCAAATTCAGACATAATTTGTAAGAGGACAGGTTGAATATGTACTGCATACAGTACTTATTTTAATTTTGTATAAGAAGTTACATCATCTTGCCTGAGGAGCAAATAACCGCTAATAATTTAATGCCAAACTAGCTTTCCATTCTGGTTTATTGTTGAAATTCTCTTAATGGCATTAACTTCACCAAATATAGCAAGAATTAGACACATGCTGTTATTATTATCATGCAGTTGATGGATGGAATATATAATCTATTATGTTGTGCAAAATTTTAATTGTTAAACATTGTTTCAGGTGGCAGGAAGGAGTCGAGCAGTGCCAATATCAAGTGCACAAAGTAATTATAAAGTGGGTCTAGCTGCCGTGCCATCTTCATCCTGCGAACTTCACAGTGAAGAAGGCAGCCTTGAGAAGCACTCGAGTCATATTGGGTCAGGAGGTCAACAGTTACAAAGAGAAAATCAAAGCAAAGGAGAATGCATTAGGTTATGAAACAATTAGTGTGCAGTGATCAAAACTTAGTTATATATATATTGGTTAGGTTGTTCTATTAAAATCAGAAAACTCAAATATCTCAGAAACCCAATTTGAACCAAAGACAGCAATCAAGGTTATTAGGCAAGTTAAAGTTAGGGTTACAGGGTTAATGAGATCAGTACAAAACATGGGTTTAGAAGATTGGCTTTAAAGAACTTGACTGCAAACCAGTTTGTGCATTTGCATCACTGACATTACCCAATAAATCCTAATCTCTGATTTTCACTCCTGACCTAATTTGATCCAATAGTGCAAAAAACATGCAATCAAAACAGCGCAAGAAAGGAAGGCTGCGTAGATGGACTAAGACGCGTTTGATATACTGTACATGTGATATCCCTAATCTAATAGTGGAAGAATGACCTCATTTAGAAAATAACCTTTAATATGAAATATCTAAATTTGTTTTTATAATAAACTCATCAGTTATGAAATCAGTGTGGTGATAGTGAATGCTACTGAGATGAGCCTGCATATGTAATGGGGTGAGCCATTGTGAGCCTTTAACAGTTCTTTCATGGCTGCTTTTCCAAGAAAAGAAGCTTCAATGAAGTCTAGATAGTCTCACAATAGCTTATCTCTTTACATTGTCCCCAAGAAGTGGTTCAAGTTTATCTGCTACCTAACGCATTCTCATGACGAACTTGCAATGTTTGATAATCCCAAGGTCCCTCATCATGCCAGGGAGGCCAACTTTCCCTCTGTTTAATCCCCTTTCTTGTCTCCTCTTAACGAGCCGAGTTTCCCTGGGCTATTGTTTGAGAGGGGGTTGAAGGTATATTACTCTCTGGCATGTTCTCCTTCCGTCTGAACTTTATCCTGCCGCTTCCAAACACCACAAGGTATCTGAGAGCGGTCCTTGAAAATCCAAATCTTACAGCTCTGGTTCTCGGGTAATTCACGAGCTTCATGGGGGTGTCATAAGAGCCAAAATCTTGTGTTCATACTTGGTAAAAATTGCCTTACGGGAATTCCCTGAAGCTGATGTATGACCCAAAGTTCAGATCCCATATTAGGAGCATTCTAAGGTAGTGGATCCCATATATGCCTTCCCCCAACTGCCCCGAGGCACCACCAGCATTTATTCCATGCCTATTTGAACCCCCTCAATATCTTCTACGAATTTTCTGCTCTCTGTCGCAGTAGTTCAGTGGCCCTCGAAGTATTATAACCGACTCTCTGGAACTACTCCCTGCCTTCCTTTTGTCGGATGCCAAAGTGTCGCAGGACCCTCTACGGTAGCAGTATTTTTGCGGGCAGATGGGGGGTAGCTATGGGTGATAGGATTGAAAACCTTTTTGGTAACTTTTCTTCTTAATGACCCCCTTCCTAATGTCATTCCAACTCCTACATGAATTAGAACTTTCCCAGGTTGAACAGCAATAAGGCATAACAGTTTATTAATACCATTGTAACTTTAGGATTTGTTTTTGTTCACTTTGCATAATAACGGTTTCGAATATTAGCTCTTTACAATGCATTTCATAATATATTGTTGTTCAACTGTTCCCCAATATACATTCTCCTGTGTTACTAAGTCAAGTGTGGGTATGATGTTAAGACCGTTGCTGTGGTGATAAAATGTACAATGTCACACTGATGATATAAAAGTGCTATAAGGCTGAGGGGTTCCCTAAAGATTTATCCCCCCCCCCGCTCCCTCCCCCCCCCTCTGTTGACCACCACCTGCTTCCACAACCCACCACCACCGCCAAATCCAAAGCCCGCTGTGCAGCCACCAAGTTAAAGAACCTAATGTGTGCGCGCAAATGGACGGGGAGGAACAACAAATGAGCAACGAATGATGCAGCTGCCGTGATCAGACTCTGTTTCGTTACGACAAGCAAGTGGTGATGTTTGTGCCTGAAGCAAATTCTACTGAAGCTTTACAAAGAATGTATATATTCGTTATTCTAGTGATTCATTAGTTACTACTAAGAACAATGGCCTAATTGAAGGAGGGAGGAAAGGACGTTAAGTAGCTGGCGCGTTTTGCACTGGAAAGTAGTAGTAAAAGTGGTGGCAGTCGTGTGTGTGTGTGTGTGTGTGCTCGTAAACCTCAACTGTGAGATACAGCGTGCGCTAGGTTGACCATGTGCTCCTCAACATGCTATGCGGGACTGAAAAGGAATTCATTTTCAAACCGTCTTATTCAGACCTGAACTTGATAACTATAAGATATAAACCAGCACTGTTCTAAGTGTTGGATAATCTTCGGGTTGTTTCTTTTTGACAGTTTATTGGATGGTTTGAGATACCAATTCGGTAAGGTTGGTACCCCTGTGCGTGAAAATGGCGCAGATTAAAATTAAAAGGAAAGTTTGATCAGAATTGAATTCTCAAGCATCTTCATAGGGTATAATTCCATGAGTATCCAAGTTGGTACTCTCTGCCCTGACTATGAAGATGTACATGAGCAAGTTTCATATGGGGATGATGCATGACACCAAAGGAAAATGTTATGAAATGTATACTTCCTGATGGATGTCCAGAATTGAACCAAGATGGATAAGTGAGAAGGAAAAACAAGAATAACTACAAAAGGCATAAGTGTAATTGAGAAATTAACTATTAAAAAGATACAATACGGTGAAGCATGGAGGCAAAAAGCAATGTTGTATGTTAATACAGGGAGTTAATAAATTGTCAAGACAGAACAAAAAGACATTAAAGCAATATGTCAAAAAGTTGGAGAGTTGCACGGAGATGGAGACAAGGACAGAAAACTCAGCTGGATCAGGTGTGTAGTTTCCGTCACTGGCACGTATCCTCCAAGAGAGCCTCATCCCCTCTCCACTGAAAGAGGTGCCGCCCTATCACTCAGGAAGGATGGTCCTAACTATCGTAAAGCATCGGCTTCTGGAATTTCAGTAGGTCTCCTCATTCTATGCATAGAGCGAGACTTTTTGAAATCACAGAAATTGATGAATTACCCTAAGCCCCAGTTTGTAATGTAAGAACTCCTTAAGAAGATATAAAGATGTAGGTGCTATTGGAACTTGCTTATAAAAATTATATATACAATCACATTACAATGTTGTAAAATATCTTGGCATATTGTCAAAAAATGAATGAATTTTTTAACTATTCTATTTATATCATATGAAGAATTATCATATACTACGACAAAAGATTCAACGGAGGAATGTTGTTGTGGTTGGAATATTAAATACAGAAATGTATTCTTGTGGTGTTCTTATGTTAACAAAGCTAACCTAAGCCCATCTTGTGTGCAACTGCCTGGCACATAGGGATTGTGGACAGCATCTTGTGAAGGCTATTGGAATGAACCAAGGGGGAAAATTGTTCAAGACTGTTGATACTGCAAATATAAGATGAAATAGCTGGATAGTGAAATAATAAAACAAGTGAAAAGAAATGGAATTAATACCAACAAGAAAATTTTGAAGTACACATTGTTAACTGCCCATTCACTCACCCTGCATAGACAATTCAGGAGGTATCAGCTACCGAGGTGTATGAAATATATATATATAAAAAAAAAGACACGTTTTGTGTTCATATCACAACCTTCACCCTTTTGCCTTTGCATCGTTTATGCCCATATTTCCTAAGTGATGATGTTGGATTGTCTAAACATATCGTTCATTCAAAATATGAAGCCTTGTCCTTTGTGTGATTCATTCTCACTTATTGCATTTTGAAGTTTGTGTCCTCCTTCAGTGTCCAGTTATGTTCTTAATTGTGCTGCTTTTTCTTAAGTCATCACTTTAGTCAGACATCTACAGTGTACATAATAAAGGTGTAAGTAACTATGTGGATGACTGTACCCGGTGCTAAATTTCCTTTACAGTCAAGGAAGAGGAACTAAAAAAAAAAATTACCAATGAGAATAAAGTCACTTGTGTTCCATAATATCTACAGGTGTTGTAGTTCAAGTAAATATTCAGCCTAGATCATCCCAAGGACCTGTTAGATTAGGTGAGGCAATTAAACATTTTAGAACCCACATAAAGAAGACAAATCTGAACATTTAATCAAGTAAAAATAAAATACAAAACCTGGTTCACTGACCTATTGTATAGGTGTGTTGCTGGTAGTGAGTGAGAGAAATTGGGCAAGAAAAGTACACAAAGTTGATTATCCATTATCAATGGTTTTCTTAAATTATAACTGACTACCTCCCTCTGTAAGACAGTAGAAACAACTAGTTTTATTTACTAGTTATCACTTGCTATGTTCATACTAGTGTGCAAGTGATTAGACAAATGTTTAGATAAGAAGTATACAGAATTAGAAGAAAAAATAATCCACAAATCCTCCTCCACTCAGCTTCAGCCAATTGTGGAAAACTGAAAAAACTGTTAACATTCTTCACAGATTGATAGAAAGCAAATGGAACAAATTAGAGAAGGCAGATGAAGGCAGAAATAAGGACAAAGGAGAAAGATTGTGCAGGACCCAGGCCAGCCAGAATGTATGGCAACAAATATCTCCCCAACTAGTACATAGGTGGTGATTATGCCTATGAATAATGAGTCTAGTTTAGAGAGATAGAATACCAAGTGAGTAATTACCCAAATTAATCAGCATTATGATAATTTAAATAGGATGATGAAATTTGTGACAGTTTGCCTCTCCACGATCTGATAAAGTGCATTGCTTCATTATAATTGAAGAAATGCAGTCATGTTTTTATATGTTTCTTTCTAAAGGCCTGTATATATTCTGTACATAATTGACTGATTGTTTGTTTTACATTAAGCCTGTTTATTGTTGACGGTTTGAGAATCTTAGATAATTATTTTCTCTTGTTGCTGCATGAGAACTTTGAACAACTCTTAACCCATCAGGTTTTGTTGGTGTGACTTCCTCCTCACAGTGCTTGTGATTAGCTTACTGAGAGAAGGCATCACCAATCAGAACTTAGAGTGGGCTGCCCGTCCCAAGGTGTCCGAATGCAGTCTCAAGTTTCCTAATCAACTCTCTTCTTCTTGTGGACTGTGAAGTCAGAACCATTAAGAGGGGGCGGGCATCCCAACCATTTGCTTCATACTTTATCTAGGAAGAACCTCTAGAGCATTATTTGCTTGCTAGATTACAAAAATATTGGAATAAGTGACCATTAAACATTTCAGACGGCCGTAGTTCCTCAAAATGCTGTAACCTCTTCAGCTATTTACAACTCTGCTTAACCTAGAGAGACAATGTAGTTAAATCAAGAGAAGAGTAGTTCACTGTGGTGTGATAATTTTGAACTTAGGATGACATTTCATTGAGGTTGACTGTGTTGCGCGTGAAAATCAGTTTGTCAGAGGCCCATGCATGGCACGGAGTTCCTGACCATTTCACAAGTCTTGTTGGTAGATTCTTCAGTTACACCACACATGAAACCAGTTTTTGGTAATTTATCTAGACAAGTGACAATATCAGTTACCATGAGCCTGAAGTGATATCTCAGATGAGCTTTTTCCCATTCACAACACAAGTGATCCTTATTCATGAAATACTACCCAATGTTCGATTACATTGGTCACATCGCTGGATAGAATGGTACTACTTCTCATGTCGGTGTCTTCATTGTCTCTTTACATAATAAGGTGCCATGTACTCCCAAGTTATCTTACTGGCTCCCTCTTCCCCCTCTTTATTATATTGTATCTATGTTACTTTGCTTCAAACAGTTGTTTTCTTTGTCCACTCAAGGAAAGAAAATATTGTTAGCAAACTGCAGCTACCAATGACAATGCCAACTCTTTCCATTCTTTTCAGAATTATTAGTAGTGGTATAGGGTTTCAAATTATTGAGACTTTCTCCATTTAACTTTATGATGACTGCCTGTTAATGTATATAATACAAATAAAAGTTGTTTGTTAAATAATGTAACAACAATTCATCATCGTCATCCATTCCAAATCAAAATGAAGGCAGATGAGCTGTAATTATGAGATACTAGTCCACCTAATTCCAGGTATTATTGATTAGGCTCTCCCTTTCCTTATTAATCCCTCTAACCCCTCATGTACCCGAGGGGCAGGAGTAGACAACGGAGAACTTCCTTAAATTCTTGGGGAGAGTTTCAGATATCATAGTCTTTGTAACTTATCTCCATAAGTGATTAAAGGGGTTTTGCGTTGTCTCCAGCTGATCCTCATATCTGCTTCAGTCAGAGACATCAATGGGTCCCCAGAGTTGCACGGTCTAAGGGGAAGGTAAGAAACGAGTATGGCACCACTTAGGGTCTGAAGAGTCTTGCTTTTCCCTCTCAGTAATTGTGAACCAGCCATTGAATGTCTCTGTGATAATTAAGAGAACCTCACCTGTCATGGATTATGTTCATATATATATTTTTAACAAATCACATTGGACATGTATGTTTTGAATGAGGTATGTAAACCTGTGAAATGTAACCTTGATAAGCATGTGTTAAACTGCTGCCAAAAACTTAATGAACTAATTGTAAACTACAACAAATCTATTAAAAAAATTATCAAATTCCTTATATTCTTTTGAGTTTCTTGGGGCACATTACTGGACCATTGTGCTTCAATAGCTTTCTTGTTTGTATCCACTAAAACAGAGGTCAGAACACCTTTTCTTGTCTCAACCCTCCTTAGATTGAATTTCCAGCATAAAAATGCAAAGAATTTAATCTTTAAAGAGTTGATGGCAGTTTTAAAGTCATGATCTCAAGGCTTTACAAAATATCAGTGGCATATTCAGGCTTTGAAGCAATTATTTTGGATGGCTTTAAAAAAAAATGAGCACATCGATATGAATCTAAAACATATTAATTGGCTTGAAAAGCAATAATTTATTGAGGGGGGAATATAAGTGTACATAAACACACACACACATGCACACACAGTATAAACACCAAGCCAATCAGATTGGTTATGTAAATAAATTTTATAAAGTATGCCAGGACTTGCCCCTTGGAATAATCCAAACCTAAACCACAGTAGAACAACTTGTGGATATAACTTGAGCACATCCCATTCAGCCATTACCTGTGCCTTCTATCCAAAGCTTCCACGGAGCGATGTAGGCTTTAACCCAAAACATCACTTGAGTGACTGCAATTGCCAAGCAATCACAATCTTTTCTTCACATTGTAATAACTAATCAGCTTACAGATATAGACTGCTAAAGTGCTTTGCTGCCCTGAAGTGATGTTTAAGGGCTTTGGCCAAAGCCTTGTTCAACATGTTCATGAACTACAACCAGTCTGCCAAGATTAACTGTACACTTATTGTAATAAGTTATGATGTAAATATATACTACTTGTAAACAGCACTTAATAGACTGCCAAAAATAATAGTTGTATGGGTTATTTCTTTAATGGAATCCCCAAAGATTAATTGACATGATGAACTTGGCTGTGACTTAGGTCAACGTTCCACTAACCCTGTGTGATGGGAGAGCAGAGCTGCATCTACATAGGTGACGAGGTATACAAGTGCAAGCCTGAGATTGCCATTTCAGTTGAGTTTATGGTCCGATTCACCGAGAACGTGAACCCGATTGAAATACCACCTTGGCTTCAACATGTCATTACCGTCACAATTTCTTTTGCTAGATTAAATATGGCTGCTGAGTCTATGTTTACAGTCTTTGCCTTCAGGTTATAAGATTTTCAGGTGACGTTCTCTGTATTGAAGGAAAGTACTAGGTATTTAACATTTCTTCCTTGCTATTAAGGTCCATTGTTGTATAAGATTATGAAAAGATTTGGACCTTGGTAGCTGCAAGATGGACTGGATTCATTGAATCCCCTCATTATTTTGATCTTGTATCAAAGTGTGTGCTTTTTCATGCCAATAAACTAAGAAACCAGTTAAATAGTAGTTTTAATTTTAGTCAAGATCAGTATTATAGTAAAAAAAACAAAAAAAATTTGTGCCGTGTATTTATAGCATGTACAAAAATTTATCCTATATAGAAATCAAGAAACACTCATGAAATTAAAAATGCAGAAAAATAATTTGTATAAAAAAATCTTGAAGTTAGAAATAAAAATGATTTAAAAAATTCATAGAAATCATTTTTAATCTGATGCACAGAAATAATTTTTCTGTGCATCAAGAAAAATGCAGTGAAAATTTAAGCAAATTCACTTTCTATCTGATATAATTTTGTGATTTCAAAGAATATAATTTTAATTATAAAATTTTATGCTTTGAAATCACAAACCGAATATTAAGAACAATATTTATAAGGACTTTCAAACCCAATATCATGACTTTGAAATTAAAAAAATGCTTCATACTAACATTCATTCATTTAATGGCTCAAACTACATAAAAAGTTTAGACTCCTTACCCAAACACCCACTCACAAATTACACTAATATTTTGCTATACAAGAACTGCAACCTGATTATTGCAACTTGTTAATGTATGGATCAAATAATTAAAGACAAGATTAAAATACTTGGTGCATGTGTTCCCATCCAAACACAACTAAGTGGGGATGGGGAAAGATTGGAATAGCAAAATAACATGAGAAGTAGCTACAATCTTCGGAGAAGAATTTAGGCAATAATATTACACCAGATCTTATGTAAGAAATGCACTATGTAATGTCAGAGGAATGTTCACAGATGACACACAATATGGATAGCCTTTGTGAACCAAATCAAAAGCTACAGAGAAAAAAAAAAAAAAAAGGCTCACCGAGAACATTATGAAAGGAAAAAATTTAGGCATGTTTACTATGTAAACATGATACTGTACCGAAGGGGAAGGGGGGGGGGGGGTGATAAAGTTGGTGGATAGGGACACCCTATTCCAAATGAGGTGGTTCAGACCATACTGAACAACACAAATGAGCCAGAGCAGGAAGGAAAGTGGTAAATAAGTGTAATAAACAGGGGCGCAAAAGGTGGGAGAGATCAATGCCATTTAAAGCTTTAAGAGCAAAGACAGAAGAATTCAAGACAGAGTATAATGCTACCTCAATTGCACCAGTTAGTGGATTGCCGAGAGGTGAGGCACAAGGGCTGAATTATAGAAACAAAATATACTCACTAGGATAGCCTATCTTATAACATTTTTTTTAACTGAGTATAAAAGTTGAGGTAACCAGCTTACACCTTTCCTGTCACACTATCTGCACAACATTCCTTTACATGTTAAATATTTTAAAGCTTAATTTCGTAAAATATCGACAACTGCTTTCAGACTACTTCAATCTTGCTTAACAATATATATACTGTATTGCCATCTTCAAAAAATATATTCAAGGTCCCTTACATAAACAATAGTTTGATTTATTCAAGCTATATAAAATAAATGTAACCAGACTGATGATTAAATTAAATTTAAGTGTTCACATAGTACACAGTTATTTATACATTAGTAATATCACCTTAAAAATATACAACACAACAAAATTAGAACATACATACAATAAGCCATTTATACTGCAAGGTTCATGTTTGCGACTCATTGTCATTTTCTTTTACCTTAAAAGCTATTTAAATTGAAGAATGAGTACCCAACACTGATAAAAAACAGTGTTAACCAACTACATCTAATGTGAAAACCAATTATTTGTGCTATGTATGCAATGGATAATACTGCATTTGACTGTTTGGATACCAGGCTGGTGATGATAAATTCCTACTTACATGATATAATAACCTTTTCTCAGTTCTTTAATTGACCGATTTTCATACCCCATAGACAAAGGAATGTATAGCAATTTACAAAACATTTATAATCACCCACAGGTAACTAACTTTTCAATATATGCCATTTGGAATGGCATACAAAAAAGAAATTACAAAATAGAATAGCCAAAGAGAACATTTTAAGCGAAACCGTCGTTCTACCGTCCAACACAAGGAGCGAGAAAATAGAAGGGAAGCACTGCAACAAATGACTGGGAACTGTAGTGCTGAATGGTAGGGGGGGGGGGGGGGGCGTTGACACAAACTCAAGAGATTGGCCAAAGAGATCTTAGAACTGTCACGAGAAAAAACAGAAAAACATGCAGACGATGAGTCACAATAACGAGGCTGAAGATATAATTACCAAACCACACATCAGATGATGAAAAAACTACAACATTTTCAGTCCATCCTGGACTAAAATGTCGTCATCTTTGCCTAGATCTACTACATGAAGTATGGAGTGTCAAAGAAGATATGTATAAAAAAAAAAAGTACCCAAAAACAAGTGAACTATCTTTAATCCAAGTCACATGTGGTAACAGTTATGGAGTAGGACTCCAAGCCAAGCAACGCTGAACAAGGCCTACAGGAAAATAAACCATGTGAACTTTCAAGGAAAGGGACAAAACCCTCAGGCCTTGAAACAAGATTGCAAAGCAAGGTAATGGGCAAACATGGGCCTCCCCAGACAAACTCAAAACCCTAAGACAAATTCATGTCACAGAAGATGGAGAAAGGAATATAGACTACAACTTCTCAGAGCCAAATGGCCAGAAGGGATAGAGGTAGTACCTGGAACAAAGACCTCCAAACTTTTGCCCATGAAGCACAGCTCTCGGAAGCATTCCACAAATCCACGGAGTTGCAAGAGTACGAGTAAACACCAAGGCCGTCAATGTCCTGGAGGGAAAATATCCGGAGGATACCACTGCCAGAGCACTTTTCTCCTGTGTTGTCTGTGGGTATACAAGCCAAGGATGTTTTGGAACCTGAACTGACAAGCCAGAAACCAATGCTAATCAATAGCCAGAGAAGGAGCTGCAGATGTGGGCATTCATATAGGACACAGGTAGGAGAAACACTCAAAAGCCTTCCCCAAAGTGGGAAACACACACATAATGATGGGAGCAAAATAAAAGACCAGCTTAGCACAAAAACACTGTAGTGCATCCTAGAAAGCTACAAGCAGCAAAATTTAGCTTTGATCTGGGTGGGGCAATCAGCACGACCCAACACCAAACAAAATAACCACTAATACCAACACTATTTTGTGACAGGTAAATCAATAGCTCCACACAAACAGGTCTGGGCAGCAGTGGCGATAATTGGGGAAAAAAAACAATTTGTTATGGTTGGTTTCAATCAGTTTTGGGTAGATCTCTGTTCCCCGAGCTTTCCCACCTTGTAGACTTTAGTTCTGGCACCTACAGCCACTGAGCGGTCCTTCCCACCAGTGTCTAGTTTGCACACTTCACTATCTTTTTGCTATCACTTACATAAATATTAATTTAATATACAGTAATTTTCTTTTGTACATTTATCATAGACTACACATAAATAACCATCACAAGAGGCATTTGCATGTGCTTTTTTTATGGTGCCACAGTAAAAGTGTTAGTTTCAAGGATCAGTCCCACTTTTAAAAATTGAGGTGCTATATATTTTTTTGTGCAAAAATTTGCCTGTAATGAATTTTTGCAGCATAAAATCTAGCTCTTCAGTAACATTTAAAATTGTATCTGAAAGACGTCAGCCAATCCGACGCTCAAGATTCAATTATTTGTTTTACCAACGATAGTGCTCAAGAAATGACTAATACTGCAGTTGTCAGCTATTTGATTTACTTTGAAAACTTGTATCAGATTAATTTAATACAAGTCACTTAAATATACAAGTAAAGTTATTTATATCAGAAGTAATCAAATCCACACGGGGCCTTGACGAGGGTTCAAACCCATGAGCTGGATGTTCCCAGATGCACTCCGGTCAACTGTACCATGACATGGTAAATGTGGATTAAGTGATTTGCATTGAAAATAAATTTAAAGTTGTATACTGTATTTGATTTTAACATTTTAGCTGTTCACTGTTATCAAACAAATGACCAAGATTCTATAAAACAAAACACTAATGTTGGTTTAAAGAAGAAACTTTTAAAAATGGGAATAAAACATAAAACTGGTAATATGGTCTAAAAAAAGCATTTAATGTGACTTCCAGTAATTTAAATTTCAATCATAAGTTTTGAAAGTCCAAAGTCCATACTATGGATAAAATATTACTCATCCATTGATGATGAAAATAGTTTGGGCCAATGATAACTAAAATCTAATATGCATATTCCTCCCAGAACTCAGGAGATGAATTAAAGATTATATTTTCTCATGTGTGTGTGTAGTAGAAAAACAACTATTTTTTAAGTTAAATAACATTATTTCCATGGTGCTATTGTAAACACATGTTAATAATGTTGCAGAATGTCACAATCACAACTGTTGATCTTCAGTGCTGCTGCTCATTTATCCTATCAAGTCTTGCGTGCCAAAATTAACCACTTCTAATGTTGAATACTAGACAACATTACGAGACACTCAACATACACCATCTCCAGTTGCACATTTGTGTATTTAATTATTTTATAGTGTTGTGCTAATGAGTGAGTGGTACTGTAAAAGAGCTGGCTCTAATAGCCATATAAAATGACAGATCTAAACCTAGTTAAAATATATTAAATTATCACGATAATGTTGTGTAACAATGTACAGTAGGATCTAAAGACAAATATTATTTACTGCTGTTAATATTTATATTTACAATCAGAGTATAACAAAATTCAAAAATAAAACTGACCTCTCACTTGAACTATTAATTTTGAATATATGGCTAAGTACACTGAAGATATTTACAAGATACATATACTGTACTGTACATTTGCTCTTTATTTTCTAACCTGCTTCGTTGCTGTGCCAATATGACACTGGTTAACTTTGGTGGCAAACCGGAGTGAATTTAGTGTCTCGTTGAAACACATCTCCAGCGGCGAAACGTTGACAAACATCAGTGTCTTCGAGTTACCACCAAGCGAGCTTTGCAACACATGCGTCAGCTTGGAATTTCGATACGGAATAAAGCTTTGCTGTAAAGGAAATTAAAATTATTGCAACAATACTATAAGTAAATACTTCTTTATGTTATACAATCAGGTTCAACAATGATGTATACATTTATTCATACTCTTATTTATTATATATAATATATATTATACTTTTGGAGGGGTCCCAACATTGCCCAGGTCTGTCTATTCATCCATCAATTCCCCTCCCTCCCCTTCTCCCATCATCTTCCCGTCCCTCTTCCACATCATCTCCCCCTCCTCCCAATTTGCCCCCTCTTCCCCCTTCTCTCAAAAAATATTAAGAACTGAAGCAACTGTCAAAAATTGTATACTGTATTTATTATCACGAAAAACTTGGGGAATCACAACCAATATTTCACCCTGGGCCATACTTCACTCCATGAAAATTAGATGTGGGTCTCAATACAGTATTGCTAAAAATTTCTTAAAACATTAAAGCATTAACTTAGTCCATCCCAAACAAGCCATCCTGTACCCTATACTATTTTCCCTACAATTCTGTGTGAAGCACTCCAATCATCTGGCTTTCAACTTTGGATAGACAAACTGACAAAAACAGAACCTCAATGCTAATACATAATGTATATTTATTGATATTGATATGGATGTATGTTAAATCACAGCATATCAAAATAGTATTATAACAAAAAGACAATGAAGCAGTATAACAACAAAGCAGTGAGAATGGTAATCAAGTACAGTACAGAGAATGGCAAGGAGGCAGAGACCGTGCTTACTATCAGTGATTACGTAATATGAGCATCTAGCTCTCTTACACCCCACCTCCTACCTTTCTCTACACAATTTTTAATTGATAAGGTAATGCCTTTGCTACACACACACACACTAACACAGCTAAGAAACAATCATGCACATCACTATATGATCATTACAAGTGCTAAAATAAAAAAAAAGCACTCAATTGGTTTAAATACCTGTGATATTTAATATAAATTTGTGCAAGAGAAGTTGAGAATAAACCAAGTCAGCGAAGGAAAGTGGCTGGTGCAATAACAACCCAGGGGCCAGATTCACGAAGCAGTTACGCAAGCACTTACGAACCTGTACATTTTTTCTCAATCTTTGGCAGCTTTGTTTACAACCATTAACAGTTAATGAGCGCCGAAGCACCAGGAGGCAGTTTATAACAATAACAGTTGATTGGGAAGTTTTCATTCTTGTAAACTCTTTAATAAATGTAACCAAAGCCATCAAAGATTGAGGAAAGATGTACATGTTCGTAAGTACTTGCGTAACTACTTCGTGAATCTGGCCCCTGGTTAGGAAACAAATTAAGATTATTAACTCAACCCAAACATACGAAAAGTTAATAGTTTTCAGCCACAATATTGTGACATTCTATGTAAATTATGAATAGATGCAGCTAGCACACTGCATGAATATCAGCTGTTGCCGAGCCATGTACAGTAAACGGAGAGAGAACATTTCATATGAAACTAAATATTCAATGGTTAATCTGATAAACTTGTATAGTATTAGAACAGAGTAAAGAATGAAAATATGAAGGAGTGTTTAAAATTACAAAATTGACAACACAGAAATATACAGAGATGGTATGGCCATGATAAATGAATGGAGGATTGTATGTATGTGTAAATGTACATTATATATACATATATATATATATATAAATATCTATCTATGTGTGAATGATTTTATAAAATGCTGTGAAATTTTAAATATACAAATCTTCAGCCTTCTTTAACCATAAAACTTCCCCTTTTGTCTCCATGCTGATGCCTGTTATCCATCAACGGAAAACAGCAATGATAATGGATAGGTGAATGTTAACTTGAGTAACAAGAGAATAAAGCATCAAGAATAAAAGCAGCCATTCTTGCACAAACACCTATGCCGTACCTTCTGTCCCAATGCCATTATTACATTTCCAAGATTTGAGAGAGACTTATTGATATTCTGCGTCTCTGTCAACCTGGCCCCTTCTGAGCCGGATTCCTTCAGGCGCTCCGAGCCAGCCAGGTCCACGAGATTGAGTGTGCCTGCAAAAAATAATTAGGAAAGTTTGCTTATTTACTCTTAATACACTCTGTAGCTAAGAATGAATTAAGAAAAGTCTTTCTATACCATTCCTCAAGATATAATCAATAAACCAATGAATCAAGAGAAAACATTAAACAAAAACACTACATGACCCACAAGCCCAATTTAAAATAATTCATAAATGCCTTATTGATCTACAAGCCAAAATCAAATTAATAAACATGTGAATCTAGGGCACAATATGCATAAAACTTTAGTAAAAGCAATGCTGTTAAAAAAAACTTAAAAAAATATATAAATTTATATATTTGCATGCAAATGTCATCTCTGGTTTTATGCACATTAGGAGGGAGCTGTATGGGGAAAAAAATGGAGTCCATCAACACAAGTTTGCCAGCTCTTTTGTAGGGGTGAGGAGACTTGAAGTTGGATGGGTTTTATGTTCACGGCTTAACTTGCGTTTACATAATATGTAGAATAACTCAATAAATGTACACATAATTGACAAAAACAATACTACATATAGGCCTACAATGTAATATGTACACCTGTATTGCATGTAAAACTCTTCCTGGCATAACTCAAGGGATGAGTCCTGTACCCACCACTTTGTTACAGGTACTATTCTGTCTGGGAATGTAGCACAGGAATAGATTTAAACACTGACAGGAAAGACCAAATAGTGATACTGCATTTTGATAACCACAGGCCACTAATAAATAATAACCCTATCACACAGTAACCAATTACAAAAAAAAAATTAACAAAACACATTAAAAAATTCTAATACTGTAACTTCAATATATCCATATAAATATATTTTAGCAATATTTACATTATTTGTAAAAAAAATTAGGCAATTAACTAAAATTTGCAGAGGATGGTAACTACATTGGTTTGGGAATCAACATCTGACAATAACCATTCTTTAAGGGTTATAAAATATTAACTAAAAGGCTGAAACTAAATACTATACAGTACGTCGTATCATATCTACCCAAGAACCTTAACTTGTACAAGCAAAATGTACCTGTTAGTTTTCAAAGTATTCCTCAAGGCTCTTGCTCCATTTACAAGTACCTACTGTATAACACTGACAAGGATGCTTTTTCAAATGTAAGCACAGGATGTAATCCTGTTTCACAGCTTGCATGTAAAGGTTTAATACAATGGCACTCATTTTAAAGAAAGTTCAATGCTTTTCCTCAGCAATGATTTGCCAAAATACTTCTACTCTCTCTAAATAGATAACAGTATCCAGATACAGTATTGCAGGGGCATTGTGCAAAACAAGAAAAATAATAATCCATAAATACCATATGCATTCATAATGGGAAGATTGTACCCAATAACCACATTAACAGAGCAGAGAGCAGTCTTACCCTCACACGATTCAGATGTAATGCTGTTTGAACCCACAAGTTTCAAACGGAAGACGGAATGTGAACGAGATGACCGCTCGTTCATTTTAGTTTCAGCAACTGCTCTCTGTTGCTGAGCCAAATGTAAAAGATGATGAACTTCAGTCTCATCTGTCACCTTCACAACCTGACAAGTATTGACAGAAGTATATCAAAGAGAGATCCTCATAAACAGTGATAATAGAAAGTTAATTACAATGCAACAAGGAAAAGAAAATAATAAACATACACAAAGAGCAAAGAAATTAAATTACAAGGAAAGTAGCTGGCTTGTGGAACAGGTCTGGGTTCAGTATGCCAGACTTCACCAGTCTGACATGGATCTGTAAATCTGTAAATCAGTACACTAATACAAGAACAATATTGAGAGTTGGGAAATGGGTTGAATGAACATTTATAACTATTGTGTTCAAATGGTGCTAAAAATGCATCGCCCATACTCCAACTAAACATTACGACGAAGCTAAAACATATCAACCGATTGATAGTCATAAATATTTGTATTTCCATTGCTGTCACAAATAATCTATTGTAAATACACTTGTGCTTTTCTCTAAACAATTCCCTTGCAAACATTTTGACACAAAATTTATAGTTGCAATGAAACATGTAACTGAGAAAATTGTAAACTTTTTTTGCATGGCTGAGGGAGCCCAGAATGCTGCTGGGCTCTTCATGCTCAGGAACATGCACAGAGGCCACACTGCCAAAGTCTTAACACATCATGGGGCATGCCTTTTATTCTTTATAAATAGCTTTACAAAAGACATGATGTATCTGCTCATCACACTTTGGCTTGATAAAATAATGGAATTGGCAACCTCAATGTTCAATGGCTACTTTCTGGTAACCGCTAAGCCTTAGGATATTATAATGTGAAAAGTTGCATGGTATGTTGTGTTCTGGTATTTTAAATTTATCTGAAAATACTGTTTATGGTTTGTGTATGGTACTGTGAGAAAAAATAAATAAATAATTGCGGAAATCCATAAGCAAGTGTGGTGTAATATAAATGCCATTAATGCAACGATTGCCATTTTTCTTAAAATCAAAAACCTCCTTTCCTTATATTACTAATTTTTTCTATGGGCTAATTCCTTAAACTCCATGAAATAGGAAAAATGGAATAAAATGATGTTAAATGAATGAATGAACAAAAATTTAGAAAGTATGCCAATTGGGGATACTTAGCAAGTTACTTACTCTTAGATTGCTCACAAAGGTTTCATTCTTTTTGCTGTCAGTCAATTTAATTTCGTAGGTAAGACTTTTGGAGTCTTTGGAAGAGGCAAGAAGATCCCTAATGGTTTCGTTATAAATCTCTAGAAAGCTTGCTTCAACTGTGTAAATCCAGCCCTATGAAGAGAAAAAGAATATTAGGCATTATAAAACATGGCGTTGTTGAAGGCACTAAATGGTGGTTTGATCACATGGCGATGATCAAGAAAGAGACACGCCTCCTGTCTTCCATGCCAGTCAAATTTGCAACAATAACATTTATGAAGTATTTATAAAATGACAAATAACAATAAGTCTATACAAATTTAAAACCTATCTTAGAACTACCACAAGTAACTGAAAAGGACGAACGATTAAAGTGTTACTCAACACTCCCGTGGTCCAATGTGGCAATCTGCGGCATAAGAAAAACCACAAAAGCTACAGTCCATCTAGGGCCTACATCACTTGAAGACTAAACCCCCTCCCATCATAACATGAATCTTTCAAAGTGGTAGTCCTGTTCACATATCTAGAGAAGCAGGACAGTAGCAAGTGAGTGAACCCACCATCAATAACGCAGGTTTCTCGTAACACATTACAGACTATCGCATCGAAAGATTTTGGGATCATGGAGAGGTAAACAAACCAGAGAAGTCCCAAGAAACCAGATATCTGTCCCTAAAGTTCCAATTTGATTTCCCAAACCCTTCAGCCGAGAGGTCCAAACAGGACTAGGCTTTTTCAAACAGAAGGAAGTGCTGTTTCATCAGATCGTGTATTTATACATGTGGTTATCTTCTTGAGGTTATCTTGAGATGATTTCGGGGCTTTTTAGTGTCCCTGCGGCCCGGTCCTCGACCAGGCCTCCACCCCCAGGAAGCAGCCCGTGACAGCTGACTAACTCCCAGGTACCTATTTACTGCTAGGTAACAGGGGCATTCAGGGTGAAAGAAACTTTGCCCATTTGTTTCTGCCTCGTGCGGGAATCGAACCCGCGCCACAGAATTACGAGTTCTGCGCGCTATCCACCAGGCTACGAGGCCCCTAATGCACAATTGTGGGTATGCACAAACCTAACCAAGCTTTACTCCCACCATAAAAGCTGAGGTGGGTAGGCTTTGAACACAAGTCAATAAGTGAGGAACAGAGCAAGAGAGTGGGAGACAAACATCCTAGACAAAAACAACTGTGCAATTAAATTGTAAATACAGCGGAACCTCGAGATATAAACGTCCCTCTTTACAAATTTTTTGGGTTACAAGCTCAATTTCAAAAGTTACGAGTTTACGAGCTTAAACTTATATTATTTCTTATGGGAAAAGTCATTTCAGTTTACAAACTGTTTCTGAGAACGGATTAAATATGAAAAACAAAGATATCACCGTAACGTGAAATAGCAGGTTTATTTACACGAGAATAAATACAGAAAACCTGGAAAGTTACATGCTTATCAATGTTGGTGTGAAGGGGATGCCTGAAAGCCCTTCACTGCCAGCCCTAACTTACTCTTCAATTACCCATATTCAAAGTATACCATACTACTTACTGACAGACAAACCTAGAAAAATCAATGTTGCACTAAATAAACACAGTATTTTACACACACCACTAAATTATTAAGGAGGTCTGGTTTTGATGGTAAATGCTATGAACATCCTGAAGTTGAAATAATTTAACAATCTATAACTATGAAATTTTATAGAAAAGACAAACTAAGGTAGGTTGAGCCGGGAGCTATGGTGCGGATGGAAAACATTTTTATGAAGTGTGTATATACACACACACACAGTATTCTTTTGCAAAAATAGTGGTAGACAGTTGGAACAAGTGTGGTGGTGGTGGCCAAAATCGTCAATAGTTTCAAAGCATATTGTACTCTGTATGACAGAGTACTGGGAAGACTGGACACCATGAGCATAGCTCTCATCCTGTAACTGCACTCAGGTAATTACACTCAAAAAAAGTTTAATTACAATATATGTAATATTAGGAAATATTTATACAATTTGTGTCTAAACCAGGTGAAAGAGAAGCCTACAAAAGAGTAGCCTAAGATTAACTCAAGAAGATACACTAAATGAAAATCAAAAAGGTTAAAATATTTACTAATAATTTGTCTAGTGCATCCTAAAATAAAATAATACTGTACATGTACATGCTGGCCAATAATAGTACTGTATGTTAATTCTGTAAACAAATATTTGTACCATATATGCAAAACAGACAAAACATTCATAAGGTGCATGTCATACATAGGACACCATAGTACCCAAAAGGAGAACAAGACTTCACATAACCCAGGAGGACTCGATCTACTCAAACTGAACTTCCTAACAAAAGCCCAAAGCGGTGGCTTAGTTGCAAGAGGCAATACTCGGCATGCATGCTCCAGCAGAAAGTCATTTTATCACTTCAAGCAAACCTAGTATTCCCCTTTTCCAAACAATACAGAATATTTCCTGGTAATAAGGACCTATATATAAAAATATTAACAATTACAATGTATTAATAGTTATTAGTATATAATATACTATATTTAGGTGAAATGCATTAAAATTAATTTATAAATATATTATATCAACAGATGCTTTAATTACTTGAAATACCCAAAATTTATTTAAAATCCATCATGTAAATCTTTATACTGCAACAAGCATTAACCAACTAAATGTGTGGGGGCCCTAATAGGAACACTTTATATATACATTTCACTAAAAAAGAATTACAGTACATATTCAAAGCAAAAATCATACATACTTTATCCTTCAGATCATTCATGGTTCTAAACAGGTGCTTCACAGTCCGTGGAATCATGCCCTCAAGATCTTCTATACCTGGGACACCTTCCATTGTGAAGGTCTTGCCAGATCCTGTCTGTCCATAAGCGAACACACAAACATTATACCCATCGAGAGCTGACTGAGACAGCTGTGAAATCTCTTCAAAAACGTCAGCTTGGGTAGAACTAGGGCTAAAGACTCGATCAAACGAGAATTCAAAGGCGCCATTTCCACGTCCTTTCAGGCCAGACATTGTGCTTCCATTCGGATCTAGAAAAATTCATAAAATAGGTATGATTTGATCACAAGGCAATAAAGGGCAGAATCTACTCTTCTAGCCCAAAACCTAATGATACAAACATTTCCACAAAATAATCTTGGAAAACAAATGTTACTTAAAAAGTCATAATATTGAATCCGGAATAACTGAACAATAATCTGACACAGAGATACGAGACACTTCCAATGTTTCAGTCTGTCCTAATATTCCAGGATGAATTGAAAATTTATAACTTTTTTTCATTCTTAAAAATGAAGTTTTGGTTTTCAACCAATGTTAGCTCCTTCCTCCCCCCCTCCCTCTCCCACCTTTTTTCTTGTACAATCTACAAAATTAGTAGCACAAAATAATGATTTTTTGGGAGGATGCAACAGTCCACTTTTGTATGTTTGACCAATAGCTGTCACACGTACTATCATTTTTGGATGACATTGACGCCTTTCTTCCAAACCACTTCGATCCGACAAGAGAAGGTAAAACTCACCTCCACCAATCTTGACGACCTCAAGAGTTCGCTCATCAAGGAAGTTTATATGATGAACTACATCTGAATCGCCGTTGTTCTTACGCTCGTCTCCAATCAAGGGACGAACTCTGCAGAAAACTCTAATGTTACCCTGTAAAAATAAAAAAATGATGTATTGCAAATACCAGCCCTTTCCCCTTTGTTATGTTCTGAAACACCGTATAGATGTAGAGAGAATCAGTGTCAATAGCTGTACTTACCATTCAGTAACTATAGGGAAGAGGGGCTTAGGTGTTTATGTCCTAAGGGCACCACTTTTCAGTAAATAATGAAGCAGGTGGTCCAACCCAGTTTCCAAATATTTATTGAAATGTCAGTGCATAATCCTATTCTTATTTTCTTATAGTCAACATTTAGACCGAATCTATGTAGCCATATATTTTTAGTACAAAATAAAGACAGAACCAAATGCAAGAAATACCTTTCCTGACAATGTGATATTTAAGCTCAGAGTGAAGATACTCTTGGAGGCAATCATTTGGGTGCTGCAGCATTTAACCCTAACACGGCTCACAATTAAAAGTCCTACATCACAGTATGGATGGAAAAAAATCTCACAAAACAAATTTAAAAAAAATGCACATGGAAATTCCTGAACATGAGGTAATCACAAACAAGTGAAGTCATTTAAGAGTTAGAAAATTTGTTCCTGAAATTTACCAAACTATTATATTGTTACAAACTAAAACTTGTTACAACTTTAACAGAACTTGGCCAACTCTGTACATGATAACCTCACCTAAATCATTCTCTATTAAATTTTAATTGCTTTATCCAAGTCAATAAATACCAAAAACACACCATTTTAAATCATCTGTGTTTTGCCATATGCCAGCCATTGACAGTCTTCCTGTTAAATATAAATTATTTGGTATTCAGAGTTCATAGACACTGTCCTTTGACAAGTTTACAGGGATTGAGCTCTGACCGTGACCTGGTCAACATGTACTCCTTGCACAACATTAAATTTGATGAGAAAATCTGTAGGAGCCTTGATGAGGATTTGAACCTATACACTGAGTATCACCAGACATGCTCTAGACAATTAGTCCAGAGCGTGTGTCTGGGAATACCCAGCGCATAGGTTCGAATCCTCATCACAGCTCTTACTGATTTTCTCATTGATACATCACGTTACTGTGATTTCTCAGTGTATTAAATTTTATCATCATACATTTTTATTGCACTGTGTACGTCATTTCCCCCCCCCCCCCCAAGGCCACAAATAAGACAGCATTTTGGCCAAGTCAAAAGCAACATTCAACAGGAAATACATTAATTACATTTTACACAAATGAATATCTGATAACCATAATCAAATTACAGTAATAACACACCATACCTTTAATTCGAGAACTTGATTATGGAGTTTCCTCCTCGCGTTCTCCCCTTCCCGAAGCTTAGTTTCCAAGTATTCGATCAGCTCCTTCTGCTGAACCACTTTCTCTTCCAATTCCGTAACTCTCTTATTACGGTCCTCGAGAAGCAACTTTGTTGTGGACAATTCTGATCCCATTCCAGCTTGTGCACTCGTCAGGTGCGATACTGTTGACTGAACATAATTGCTGATTAAACATCACATTACAGTAATTTCAGGAAATTGATGGCTTTCAAATGAATGAATTTAATAGACTGACAGACATGTACAGTATTCCAAATTCTTCAAACTATCTTAAACATTACCCCATTACCTACTTTCATGGGGGTAAGGCTGCAACTGCTTGAAAATGGGAGAACAATGCAGTAAAGGTCTAACTAGATATGCTTAGATTGTACCTGATCAAGTGGGAACATCCCAGATCAACATATTTCAGAATACAAACAATGGTGCAATAAATGACTGACAAAATAAAAGTTTAATTGCAGCTTGATAATACCGCTGCACACTATGAAGTTAATGCATTGAAATCCCTAGATGGCAGAATTATCTGCAAGGCCCTGTCACCGAATACCAGATCTTTAGTTCAGCCTATGGAACAGGAAGTAATTATATTCACGCAGCCAGAGTTGTACCACAGAATTGATGGAACAACTGCTGCTAGGCGATATAGTTGAAAAGAAAAATGACAACAGAAATATGAAAATAGATAATTAGATGCTATTTATAATGGAAAAGGCACAGAAATAGGTTAAAGTATCTACATTGAGAGCCTGGGGCAAGGTAATACAGCTTGCAGAGTTGATAGTGATAATATTGGTAAAGGAAATAATGAAGTAAATATTTACCAAAATACTTAGTTCTTTAATAAATGGTGCAATTCTACTGCAGCATTCATTAAGACAAAGTATAATGTGTCCATGCAACTTATTAATTTATTTACAAACCTTGAGTCCAGACACTTCTTCTTGTCGTGCTGAAAGTTCAGCCTCCAGCGACTTCATTTGTCGTTCAAGGGACGATTGGTTGAATTCAAAATTCTGAATTAAACTTTCAAAACGTCGTTTTTCTGAGCTTCTTTCATCAAGTTCAACTCTGTACAGAGATACATGGATTTAATATTTAACATTTTTGCAGAATCTTGGTTATTATGCACTACACAGATGCAATATATATTAAAACAAAATTAATTTCCATTATCAGGGACAGGAAGCTCATATTTAGGTGCACCGAGGTCCTCCTTTGTCAACCAACACTAACCCTTCCCAGGACGCAACCCCACAATAGTTGCCTAACTTCCTCATACCTATTTACTGTGATGTGATTCTTACCTTTCTTGTCCTAACAGCTCTTTGTTATTTCCTTGTCACAACAATCTGCTCATTCTTCCACAGATCCATGCAACAGCACTCGCCAGCTTATCATTTCTAACTAACCATTGCTTGAATATCTACCACATGACAAAAACATCTGTTTATGCTAAGAAATCAGTATAAATTTATATTTGTAAATACCAACAAACTTACATTCTTGCCTTAGCTGGTAATAGCTTTCACACCTTGTACATTTATCTTTGCAAGGCACCATCTTACATTTCCCAGTCAATTTCATCTTCCAAAACACACACATCCACATAATGGTATAAAAATTATCAGCTTCAAGGTACAATATTAAATTTCATAACTATATTTAACAGACAATAATTACACACCTAAGATTATATTTGAGTCGGTCAACTTCTTCTTGATGTGCTTGAGAGAGTGTCTGTGTCTTCTGCAGATTCTTATTAAGATCCTGTTTCTCAAGTTCCAAATTTTCTATCCGCGAGTTATAATTCTTAAGTGTGGCAGACAACTCATCCCGCTGTACTGCTTGGTTCTTGACAAGATCCTCCATGTCTTGAAGGCGTCCCTTCAGATCCCATGCTGCTCTCTTAGGCTTTCCTGGCAATACAAATCAACATATGAGTAGTTACCAAATAACTTTTGGGCTTATGAAAAATTTGGTTTGGCACAAACAATTTGTCAACCTCTCACAGCATTCAAAATGGAACTTAATTAACAATTCCACAGGATACCAGATCAACCAGGCTGTAATTCACATGTCAAACTGCATGCAATGGCCTCTAATAGCCTTATTGACCAAACCACTAATCAGGAGGCCTGGTTAGAGATGTGGCCGTGAGTCTTTGATCCTCCAAACAACCTCACAGTAACCCCCCAACAAAATAAAAATGAATTTACAGTTGTAAATATAGGAATTGCATAGAGTACCGTGGAATGTGGAACAGGGGAAGGGAACTATTAGGATAAAGTGCCAAGTCATTATGACTATATAGCACTAGTGGAATGGGGGAGAATGTGTCACACACAACCTATAAATTATGTGAAATAGTATATATATATTATATATATATATATATATAATATACAAATATATATATATAATTGCATATACATATGAAAACTCACACCCCAGAAGTGACTCGAACCCATACTGCCAGGAGCACACTGCTGGCGTACAGGATCCCTTAACTGCTCGACCAACACGACTGGACAAAGGAAGATGGTAGCCGAGGCTATTTCCATCCCCCCGCCGGCACTCGGTTGGTAATCTTGGGCATGGTATTTTATCAAATCACCTCATTCTTTGGGCCACACATGAGGAACAACTATTAGGGATCCTGTACGAGCGGTTAAGGGATCCTGTACGCCAGCAGTGTGCTCCTGGCAGTATGGGTTCGAGTCACTTCTGGGGTGAGAGTTTTCAGTTGCATATAGTCCTGGGGACCATTCAGGCTTGTTCGCATTTGTGTTCCTCACTGTAATATGATAGATATCTGCTATTTGCTCTCATCCTATGACTATACTTAGTAACTGTTTAGGCAATTACACACAAACACAAAGTTATTTATATCTACATATTTTGAGAAAAATTCATAGGAGCCATGAGGAGGATTCAAACCCACTCACTTGGTACTCCCAAGTGAACACCCTAGACTACTACACCATTACTTTCATATTCATTCATTCATTCAGCATGTATAGAACTAGTGTTACAAATAAATATTTCAAGTCCCCACCTCAGTATCTACTTTACAAACTATTTCAACATTTCCTTAATACACATTTATTAGAAACTCCCAATATCATATGCCTATCTTCCCTAACTCCAACAATAAAAAATGTGATATCTAAATTCACCATTCTTTTGACCACACTTCACATTATTCCAAAACTCCTATTTTATTATATTTAATATCATTCTAATTGCAGCCAAAAAATTTTAAAATGCTAAAACAGAACCTCTGAAAAAATTGGGTTAACATTCAATAAGATGATTTAACCCCAAATTAATATAAAATGAAGGTGCAAATTAAGTATATATACTTAGGAGAGAAATATGCATACTACTGTACTAACCTTTGCTAACTGTCTCTCCATTGTCCTTGTTGAGTATCTGTGTCGGCTTGGAGCTCTTGGTACCTACAGAGGACTGGTGGATATTGTTGACACGATTTGTTATATTTGTTCCAGGTTTGCGGCCTCCAATTCCTGTAACATGTGCATGTCACATTTATGAATATACAATCTCGAGTGCCATGCCATACACCGCATGCCATGTGCAACATATACAGCAACAATGGAATACAACCGAGGTGTGAATAGTATCAAGTATAAACTAGAAATATATAAGAAACTAAATGACTCATAATGGTAAAATTTTCTATATTTATGGTAATAACATACAGCCTTGCCTCTGAAGAAAAATGCAGTGAAGAATATAGCCTAAACTGTTTAATTCATCAATTTAATACAGTGATCACTAACTTGTCTTTTACTTTAATAGGACATAATTTGTCCTAATTAATGAAGTACTGCATAATGACTGACTGCAGAGAGTGAAAGTGTGTGAGTGAATGAGACAAAGTTGGAAAAAGATGGACCGAGACACTGATTGGTGACCAAATTAAACAAAATAATAACAAAGGTGCTTGTATTTCATACAAATCGAAGTGCCAATACATCTATAGTCAATCTTGCCTACATGCAGATTTCAAGGTCAAATATGAGGATGTATACCAAGAAACAATTTACCTTCTGATCTCAGCAGAGCCTCTGCTATAAATCTCGCACACCCTGGAACCCCGAGATCTACCAGCTGCCCTCCTATTTCAATACAGTTCATATCTGGAGTTTCAGAATTCACAGGACTACTTCCATATTTTGGGATATTGGAGAGAACTGTGCTGGTCTGTGCTTCAGGATTTGGAACACTGAAAGCTTTGTCACTTAAACACAGGGAACCTATCCTTAATTTAAATACAAATACATGTAGGCACACTTATTTGTTTGGTTTTTCAACTCTTCTATACATTCACAACCATACTCTTAGTACAAATTTCTACTCTGAAAAACTAATGCTTGCTAAAATATCCCAAGTTTGATCGACATATTGATCAACCAGTAGGAACACACTGTGGGTCGGTGTGCATGTGTATTTTTTATTTGTTTCTGCAGAATCGAGCTATTAGCTCTTGGACCCCGCCTTTCTAACCAATCTATTTTTCCTCCATTATGTATACTACATATCTCTCTCTCTAACCAGCGCATGCACACACAGACTAGGACAGGTGGAAACCTAGTACCCAGATTATACAGACAAATAATTTTTTTCCAGCATCAGACTAGTTAACAAATTAAATAAATTAAGCAGTGATGTGATGGTGGCAGATTCTATGCACAGTTTCAAATGTAGATTTAATAGCACTCAATAGGCTCCAGAATCTGTACACCAGTTGATTGACAGTTGAGAGGTGGGACCAAAGAGCCAAAGCTCAATCCCCCTCCCTGCAAGCACAATTACACCAGTCGATTGACAGTCGAGAAGCGGGACCAAAGAACCAGAGCTCAACCCCCGCAAACACAACTAGGCGAGTACAACAATACGTGTATGTCACACATATCCCTAGGAAGCAGCCCGTAGCAGCTGTCTCCCAGGTACCTATTTACTGCTGGGTGAACAGAGGCATCAGTGAAAGAAATTCTGCCCATTTGTGCAGAGAAATCCAGGACCACCACACTCCAGCATCACAGAAACCCTGGACCACCACACTCCAGCATCACAGAAACCCTGGACCACCACACTCCAGCATTACAGAAACCCTGGACCACCACACTCCAGCATCACAGAAACCCTGGACCACCACACTCCAGCATCACAGAAACCCTGGCCCACCACACTCCAGCATCACAGAAATCCAGGACCACCACACTCCAGCATCACAGAAACCCTGGACCACCACACTCCAGCATCACAGAAACCCTGGACCACCACACTCCAGCATCACAGAAACCCTGGCCCACCACACTCCAGCATCACAGAAACCCTGGACCACCACACTCCAGCATCACAGAAACCCTGGACCACCACACTCCAGCATCACAGAAACCCTGGCCCACCACACTCCAGCATCACAGAAACCCTGGACCACCACACTCCAGCATCACAGAAACCCTGGCCCACCACACTCCAGCATCACAGAAACCCTGGCCCACCACACTCCAGCATCACAGAAACCCTGGACCACCACACTCCAGCATCACAGAAACCCTGGCCCACCACACTCCAGCATCACAGAAACCCTGGCCCACCACACTCCAGCATCACAGAAACCCTGGACCACCACACTCCAGCATTATTGAAAACCTACAGCATCAGACAAAAAACAAACTGTACTGAGAGTATAATTGTGTACATACCAACTGATGACAGCCGAGCTGTTGAAGCAGATATATTTGAGGGGCGACCAGTGAGACTGAGCGATGATGTACCAGCTCTCGTAAAGGCACCCCTCCCAGAATTCCGATCTCTTAGTCCTTGGGCCGATAGATTAGCCATGGAGACAGATCTACAGTATATTCAAAAAACTTTATTAACATAAAATACAATACAAAAATGAGAATTGTAATGCACACCCAGCAAAACTAGATCTAATTTAACTAGCAGATACCTACATGTCAACAGTCAGTTATTACACACAATTTGTACCTACAACTTACCTACGAAGCTTTCCAACAGCAGGAGCAGGTGGCCGACCACCGCGCCTTGCTGCAGTGGGTCGCATCTCTGTTGCCGAATCTTCAGATTCTGTTTGGAAAGAATATTAACAATTAAGCAATTTTAGGAGTGAAATTCAGAATTGTGCTCTATATTATTATTATAATAATAAAATTATATATACAGTATACATATATATATATAGTTAGTATTAAAGTTGAGCTGGGGTGAAGATTATTCCTCTTATTATATTATTATTAATAATATCTAAAATATAACTACTGTACAAAAATAAACCGTTCATGTACCATTAGAGCTAGATGAACTGAGCTTCAATCTCTTCTCTGATGAGATTGATATGTCATTGCCACTGCCATGTCGCTTTAGAGGCGAGCCTGGGAGTTTAAGCCCTGATGGCTGAGGTGCCCTAAGACGGCTGGTTGCAGATGGCAGTTTAGACATCGTGCTAATTCTGAAATGAGAAAAATCCAACAATTATAACAGGTGGTGGTAAAGTAATGAAATACAAGTCCTGGGACGTTATTCTTGGGATTTCAAATTTTTACTAATAATGGGACAATACTAAAATCTACCGATTCCAATACTGTACCAATGACAATTCTACTAAAGCCTTGATTCAAATGCTTTTGAAAAATATATCTGGATACTCGGAAAAATTAAAGCTTTACATTATGACCGTGGAAAATGTATTAATATTATAATTAGATTAATTTAAGAATATAAGGAAATTTGGAATAGATTTAAGAATAGAAAACAGCAACTCCAACGACGTATTTGCCGTATTAGTGGCCCAGCAATCACTTATAGGGTGAATGCACAACACTTAATTTCTTCCTGTTTCTAATGCTCACATATACTGTATATCATGCACAATATATTATTTTCAATACAGTATTTTCTGGAAGGAATTCGATAATTTGGGCAGATATAGTTCAAGAGTGTTATAAGCTTATTATCTTCAACAATATAGAATAAAGATAGTCGACTGCTAGTTTTCCCAATATATTTATTCATTCTGTGTGTTCTGTGGTCATTTATATCCCAAATTTTGTATTTATCAATGGCTTTTTTTAAAGTCAGTTGCCAGGTCATAAAGAACTTTTAATGTAATACTTGATTGTTAATCGTAATTTAACAAATTTTAATTATTACTTGAAAATAAAATTTTATTTGATTAAATGTTAATCCTTTTAAGAATCAGAAATCATAACTAATTTCTCTCTATTCTAATACTATACCGATCCCAATTACTGAAAAATACAAGATTCTTCTATTTCTCAATACCAATTAATTGTCCCATCATTAATATTCTACCCTAGAATTTTTTTTTTAGTAGAATATACTGTTCAGAACCTGCAGCTGTAATTTATACATAGTGCAATGATTACAGACATTGTATGGAGTTTAGGGTGTTGCTAAAGTGTGGTGAATGCAACGAGGACAGGGGAACATCAGTAGGAGTTTAGACTTGGCGAGATAAACACAGGTTGCTATACCAAAGGAACGGGGGCAGGTGATAACAGTATATCATAACGAATTTTAGATTAGAATCCTAGTGTTAGGACTGGGGTGATTATCTAATGCAGGTTGATTCTGATAGTTTGTCATTGTAGTTTTAACAACTTTTGTAATTGTGCCAGCCTCTTAAGTACTGTCAGCTCCACAATTGTACATACAGTACTTCAATGTACCAAGCACAGTAGTATACATCAGCTCATTATAGTGTCTCAAATTCAATCCCCAGGCAGGACACAGTTGGGCAAATTTCTTTCACTTGATGCCTCTGTTCACTTAGCAATAAATAAGTACAGTGGCACCTCGACTTACGATTGCTCCGACTTACAATAATTTAGAGTTACGATGTAAATTTGATCGAAAAATGTGACGACTTACGAGTGTCGTCGACTAATGATATTTGTTGGTACACGTTTGGGTCGACCGAGTGCGTGGTTCCCGGTCACACAGGCCAACCTGCCTCAGTTTACTAGAGCTGCCCACTCAGTGACAATCACGCTTGTAAGAAATTCCGTTTTTGTGGCGATTTTTACTTTTTGAACATAAAACTGATTATTATATATCATGCCATGGGTCACAGAAAGTCAGTGGTAAGGTCTAACCTAAGAAAATAGTTGTGAGTTGAGGCAGTAGAGGATATCCCTTCCTCATAAAGAAAATGTGTGAAGCATGGGAAAAATTGCAAAGTTTTGTTGAAAAACTCACCCAGATAAAGCTGTAGCAGGCTATTGCATTGACCTTTTAAATGACAATGTGATGTCTTTCTTAAGATAACCTCAAGATACAGGCAAGTGTTAAAATGTAGGGAAAAACAAGTGTTTTTAGACAGATTCTTAGTAAGACAAGCAAGCGGTGAGCCACAAGCAGGCCCTAGTGGTATGCAGGCAAAACATGCCAGTGTATCCCAGAAAAGTGATCACTGCCTGATGTTATAATGGAAGGGGACTCCCCTTCCAAACAGTAACACCTCTCCTCCCCCCTCATCACCATCTTCCATAATCCATCGAGTCCTCCATAAAAGTAAGATAAGCATATTTACTGTATTGAAGTTAGAAAACAAAATTGTATTCAGTATAAAATGTATTTTGTAAGTTAATATTTTGGAGGGTGGGGGAACGGATTAATTCAATTTCCTTTATTTCTTATGGGAAAAAATCACTTCGACTTACGATCCGTCTCTGGGAACGGATTAACATCATAAGTCGAGGCCCCACTGTACTCAGCAAATTCTTTAATTATAAGTTTACTTTTTATATTTTTCATTATTGTCTGAATAAATCACTTAACGTGTAAAAGTTACTTACATAAAATTTGACCAGAGCCCAGGCTGGGTATGCTTGGCTTAGCTTAAGTAAGGCCAGGTTAGTTTAATTTATTTATTTATATACAAGAAGGTACATTGGGTTAGAGAGAATACATAGCATAGTATTTACAATCTTGTAAAGCCACTAGTACGCGCAGCGTTTCGGGCAGGTCCTTAATCTAACAATTTTAAGTAGGTAATATTTAATTAATATTTTAATATCATTGGCAGACTCTTTGTTATGTCTTTGGCATATTATAAATAATTATTGTCCCATAATAATGATTTTAATTTAATTCAGAAGACAGTTTTTACATTCTTACGGGCTTCACTTACGGCCTCACCATAGCCCATGCTACATGGAACTTGTTCCAGTAGCTGAATCTAAAAATCTGTCAATCCATCCTTCTGAAGATATTATTATTATTCAGCATCAGATTGAATAGTTGGCACATAAATACATATTGAATAATAATACCTCAATGAGGCAGTGTGCATGGCCCGAAGCCATCAGATGAAACAGGAAAAACACCTGGAACAGAATTAGCACAAAACAATAAGCGACACACATCAAACAATAAACAAAGAACAGGTGAATGAGAATAAACACAAAGCACAGGTGAAAGAGAACACAATATGAGGTGAAACGAAAAAAAAAAAAAAGCCATTCGAGAGTTGGTACGAGAAGGCAAGACGCACCCCGGGGGAGTGAGAGACGCGGCTACAGCTTAATTCTCACTACCACTTCCTCCAGGGACGCTGCAGGAGACGCAACATGTGACGCAGCACTCACCGGCGGCGCGCTAAGTGGCGGTGATGACTCGATATTAACAGCTCTGTCCCTCACTTGATTACTATTCTCTTAAAATTTTCACTCGGAGAAGACCTCTGTCCTGCACGGTTTTGAAACGCGAAGCCAAACGTAAACACAGGTTGTGATTGGTAGAGAGCCAGGGGGTGCGTCCGCCAATCAGAGTAGTCAATGTTTAAATCCCGCGAAAGGAGCGTCAGGAAGCGCAATAAGGGAGAATAATGGGAATATAATGGCGCAATAATGGGGAATAGAAATAATATGTGAACCTATAGCAAGTTCTTGATCTACACTGTGTAATATCATACAAAATAGGGTAGCAGCACTTTGCTCTGTATATCTAATTTTACTAATAAAAAGGGTAGTGTAAGAATACCTCAATAATAATAATAATAATGTTTATTCAGGTAAAAGTACATACAATTGAAATGAGTTACAAACAGAAGGTTGGAGTTCTAGATAAAGCTAGTACATACTACGCCTAAAACCACTAATATGTACAGCGTTTCGGGCAAACATACTTTGCGCAAGGTGCAGATACGAATTGCTGAAAGTAGCGAGCTGACGGCCTAAATGTAGCGAATTTGTAATTTTTTTTATTAACAATCTTAGGTATACACAACAATGTGCTGTTATCCTGTTATATATGAAAGATTACACAATATAGGTAAAAAACAAGCTGTAAGCTCATCTAATGAATAAATACACACAGGCCATTGTAATAACTGGTACGCACTCCACTGCTACCATTGTAATATTAGACACAAACACCGTGGTTAAACTGATGGTAATTGTACAGGCATCTTGGGGAAAAGCTATTTCCAATTACAATATTTACTAGTGACCTAAATTGATGCTTTATAATTTAGTAATATGGGAAGCTGTGGTACGTCGGGCGCCTAACAGGCGCCCGAATAAATCCACTCTTGTGGATTTATTTATTTGATATATACGCTATTGTTTTTTTATTGTGATTTCTGTGTCTAGTTCATCTAATATCCCCATCTCACAGGATGGTTAGTCATACATGGAATCAGGGGAGAAAATACCTGCCTCAGTACAAAAACAAATAAACTGACTAAACAGCAACTTCATGATTTTCTGGATTTGTAGTTAAAGTAGCTCAATATTTTGTTTAGCGACTGATTCGGTTTTCAAAGTATTATATTTAAATGCATGGAGAAACACTATATGATTTAGTGATTGCATTAATATTTCATTGCATGTATTTAAAAAAAATTGATCATAGGATAACGGGAATATTTGCTCCATGAAACATAATGGGTGTAGTCTTCACATTTGAAGACTATCAAGATCTTCTTCGCCTGTATCCACACCCTGATTTGAGGAATGTGAAATATAGCTTATTGGCAGGATCACAGTACATTAAAAATAGTTGCCTTGCAACATACTTATCACAAGAGCAAGAAGCGATTTGGTAGTGAATTGTTCAAGAATCCTACTGAACACTACACTATTGTTCCTTGCTAATCATCGTATTCCTGATAAAGGTATCAACTGTAAGCGTTCCAGCATTTATAAATCTGTAAATCTCTCTTGAATGAAGATCCGTGGAACCAGCTGTAGTTTTCTCTTATTATGAAGTCGATGTTGAAAGATAATTCGTCAGACGCAAGAGAACAGATCAAATGCAAGGAATGACGTGCATTTGATACGAAATAAATAAAGGATATCCTTCATCAGTGTAAGGCGAGAGATGAGGTCCACACACAGTTCATGCCCTGTCCGGCCATTAGGCTGCTTCAAATCAACTCCAATATAGCCAAAATAATTGTCATTGATACAAGGCTTCAGAGGTAGTGCTTGTGACTAAAACTAGTCCCATAAACTGAGATAAAATCCTACTGTGTTTAGCTTTATAATATCAAACACAAATGTTCTTCACACGCAATATCTGTCTACTCATCTATAAGTTTATCTCTCGGAATGTTCGGTAATATGTTTATTGTTTGTGATGTGTGTTAATATATGTATGAACACGTTGTACTGAACTGGGTGAGGATAGCTTGAGCTACCTCATCCCTTTGTGTGTAATCCTCAATAAACTTATTTCAATTTCATCTATAAGTGCATACAGAAATCGCAATATCGTGATATATCAAATGAACAAATCCACAAGAGCCGTGCTGCGGGTTCGAACCTACGTACAGGATGTTCTATAAGTGGTTTACTGATGGTCCATCACTATATATTTGTACATTCCATCAAACAGTTATGTGCTATCACTTCAGGAGGTTGCTTGCAAAGACTTGCTTAAGACAGAAGAGCAGTCACTGACACACAAAGGCCAGAAAGTACGAGTATAAATAACTAAGGCATGTTTAGAACCGAGAATTATATGTACGGGCAACACAGAACATCCACTAGACAGTGTGCCATTAAAATTGCCAGAATTAGGCTGAGATATCCATATCTATGGCAGGTGGCTGCAGGTAATAAATCCCCCAATGGTAAACACTGCAATTGTAAACTATGTGAACAAGAGCTGGGACATACTCTCCAACACTATCTGTGATTGTCCTGTTATAAGTGACTTCAGAACAAATGGTATGAGGTACTCTGAGCTCTGTAATTACTTCATACACTCAGGAATATTGGAAGATATTCTTGTGCTGTAGCCAGATTTTGCTAGTGGAGCCTAATAGATCCTGCAGCCTTACAAGTTATGTTCTCTCCTGACTTAGTCAAAGTCGATTTGTTCTTGTACTGCAAATATATAAATCTCACAAGTTACATTTTTTTGTAAATTGTGTTATTTACTGTCTCCTGTCCTTTGCAATGTAAATCGCCATATCGGTAAATTGTAAAAAATGTATTTTTAAATTTATTCCACTTAGCGTCATATCAAACCCGAGTGTTAGAATTATTTACATGATAATGATCAGTGTTAGGGTAATATTATTTTAATGTAAAACGGAATAATATATTTACAATTCTGCAAAAATTATGCAAATTATATTTGCAGCTATTTTATAAATTTAGGTTCTTGAATTTCATTAACTGTAAACACTTGTACATTTATGAATAATGACTTACATTTTTAATCTCTAGTGCGGTTACTTTTACTACTGCTTTTGTTATTACTTCTACCGTTGTCATTACTGCTACTGTTGGCATTACTGCTACTGTTGGCATTACTGCTACTGTTGTCATTACTGCCACTGTTGTCATTACTGCCACTGTTGTCATTACTGCTACTGTTGGCATTACTGCTACTGTTGTCATTACTGCCACTGTTGTCATTACTGCCACTGTTGTCATTACTGCTACTGTTGGCATTACTGCTACTGTTGGCATTACTGCTACTGTTGGCATTACTGCTACTGTTGTCATTACTGCTACTGTTGCCATTACTGCCACTGTTGTCATTACTGCCACTGTTGTCATTACTGCCACTGTTGTCATTACTGCCACTGTTGTCATTACTGCCACTGTTGTCATTACTGCCACTGTTGTCATTACTGCCACTGTTGTCATTACTGCCACTGTTGTCATTACTGCTACTGTTGGCATTACTGCTACTGTTGGCATTACTGCTACTGTTGGCATTACTGCTACTGTTGTCATTACTGCTACTGTTGCCATTACTGCCACTGTTGTCATTACTGCCACTGTTGTCATTACTGCCACTGTTGTCATTACTGCCACTGTTGTCATTACTGCCACTGTTGTCATTACTGCTACTGTTGTTATTACTGATACTGTTGTCATTACTGCTACTGTTTTCATCACTGCCACTGTTGTCATTACTGCCACTGTTGTCATTACTGATACTGTTATACAAACCTCAGTTGGACCGCCGTGATGTCTTCAGTTGCAGCTAACAGTTGATGCCAGATATGGTACTATCCAAGCCCGTCCTCCTAAGGGTTCCCAACGTCAAGAAACTGTCGTACTAAAGTGCCATATCCTAACTTACCAGAGAACCCAAAACAGAAAACGGGACAGTATGTCAATTTCGCGAGCCACTTCCATTTTCGTTAGGGAAGTGCGTTAGGCTCGACTGGATTTGATTAAGTTAGGTTAGATTAAAGTTAGGTTAGATTAAAATAAGGTTAGGTTAGGTTAGGCTAGGCTGTGTACGTTAGGCTCGACTGAGTTTAATTAAGTTAGGTTAGATTAAAGTAAAGTTAGGTCGTGTAAGGTTAGGTAGGTTTTAAAATCCATTAGCGAGCCGACCTGTGCTCAATGTGACTTACATTCTCTTGTATGGATACTCGCCAGCCCTTGTATTTGAACGACAGGACCGACTATTCCACCAGGCTTTAACCAGAGCACAGTGGCCTACGTCCTCGGTTTACAACCTATAGATCCGGGAGAGAGGGAATTGTGAGGGGAATGCGCCAAGCCAATACGACTATATAGCACTTGGAAGAGGTCAGGATAAGGATTTGGGATAGGAATGGGGAAAGGAATAGTGCCAAACCACATTGAACGCCGACCTGCCGGGATTAATGTCCCCCGGGAGAACAGAAACGGTTCGGCAAGTTTCCTTTCATCTGGTGACTTTAATCACCCAGCTGTAAAATAAGTACCCGGGAGTTAGGCAACTGTTGAGGGGTTGCATCTTGGGAAAGATCAGCAGCTGGCCTAGGGTTAGGCCAGGTAGAGGTACAAGGGAGGCCTAAGGGAGACCCCGATGAATTTAAAAGTACAGGGTTCTTGTCCTCAACAAGGGTAATAATATATAACACCAGGAGACAACTCTTTAAGGTGATAGAGAAGCTGGTCAACACTTTGTCATAAACATTAGAGTAACTAGTTTGACTTTTTGGGGGGTTTATTTAAAATGGCGTCCAAAATGACAGTACTTATAATGACTGTGCAACAAAAGTGAAAAAAGTTCACATTTGTACTAATAATTTTTGTAGAGGATCTGAGAAAGGCTGAGGTTTTCTAGGCCTAGTACACCACATATGGACTAAATTAGCCCTAATATTGTGGACATTAGGCCTAGGATTGTTTATTTAGGACTACGATAGGTTAGCGTTAGGATTAATGTTTGTTTTCGACATGTTCTCCAGAATTCCAATAGCATAAAACAGATTTTTTGTGTGTGTGTGGGGGGGGGGGTACAATAAATAGCCTATTTTTTGCCCGCCCCCACCCACAGTTCCAACAAATATACTCTCTTTTGTTACAGCTGTTTTTAGTAAACATTTAACGTGATTGTAACAACTCTGGTTGTGCTGCAGTTTAATCCTTGCAAAACATTATGCTGCAGTTAGAACACCTGTGAAATATTGCGATAGTTAAAACACATGTGGAATATTGTGCTGCAGTTAAAACACCTGTGTGAACATTGTGCTGCAATTAAAACACATGTGGAACATTGTGCTGCAGTTAAAACACATGTGGAATATTGTGCTGCAGTTAAAACGCCTGTGGAACATTGTACTGCAGTTAAAACACCTGTGGAACATTGTGCTGCAGTTAAAACACCTGTGGAACATTGTGCTGCAGTTAAAACACCTGTGGAACATTGTGTTGCAGTTAAAACACCTGTGGAACATTGTGCTGCAGTTAAAACACCTGTGGAACATTGTGCTGCAGTTAAAACACCTGTGGAACATTGTGCTGCAGTTAAAACACATGTGGAACATTCTGCTGCAATTAAAACATATGTGGAACATTGTGCTGCAGTTAAAACACATATGGAATATTGTGCCTCAGTTAAAACACCTGTGTGAACATTATGCCTCAGTTAAAACACCTGTGTGAACATTGTGCTGCAGTTAAAACACATGTGGAACATTGTGCTGCAGTTAAAACGCATGTGGAACATTGTGCTGCAGTTAAAACACATGTGGAACATTGTGCTGCAGTTAAAACACATGTGGAATATTGTGCTGCAGTTAAAACACATGTGGAACATTGTGCTGCAGTTAAAACACCTGTGGAAAACTGATGGCATCATTACTATTAAACGCATCACACAGCTGACGTCTTCGCTGTTGATATACATTTGTATTACACCTTGTTTTCCGTTTCCAAGACTGTACTGCTCGTCTTCTCCGTTTCTGAGACTTCAATGTTCATCTTCTCCATTTCTGAGACTTCACTGCTCTTTCTGAAAAGGTAAAAATATAATAGTCTTGGAGGAAATTAGCTAGTAAGAAGCTTACAAAAAAACGATCAGATAGCTTCATCATAACTATCTTGTTTATCATCATAACTACTTTGTTTATCATCACAACGACTTTGTTTATCAGCATAACTATTTTGTTTCCCCACTTTCACGGAGAATACATGAGAGCAAATAGAAATAAAATAAAGATATCCACAACAGACACCCCCATATATTTGCCTGTTTACAAGTGCTAACCACAATGCTTGTTGTTAAGTACTTCCTATACTGTTTGAGTCTACGGTACTGAGGTAACAAGGCAAGCACTTTCTCCCCTGCCAGTTAGCAATGAAAGAACGGAATAAAATCCCTCTATACAAGGCCTAACAAACAACAAACCACCGTCAGTGGAAGAGGGAGCCTACTCTCTAGTCCTGCTGGAGGAGATGTGGGCGAGGTCGGTGATAGTGTCTGGGAGCGGCCTGCCTGCTGTCTCGCGCAGCGCAAGGGTTAAGAACCCTGCAATGAACGCCACCGCCGCGAAGATGGCTGACGGCACCCATGGTACCAGCGGACCCTGCATGGGAGGCAGCACATGAGAAGACACGTCAGGGGGAAACTAGATCCCACCCAAAGTATATAAACAGCAAGTTCCTTGGCTCTAAAGTGGTGGCACTGACCAGGTAGGTGGTGATGTAGGGCAGGATGGTGGAGGCCAACTGCGCGAATTCGCTGGCAGCCCCAATGCCCTGAAGGCGGACCTCGGTAGGGAAGAGCTCGGAGGCGTAGACGTAGATGATCTGGTAGGCGCCACTGATGCACACCTTGCCCCCCATGGCCAGGCTCACCACCACCCACGACCCGGAACCTGACCCAACAGTGGGTATCATTGTCTCACAACACCCTGCTATGTTATCATCTATCAGAGTACACATATATTATGTTATCATCTCTCTGAGTACATCCTGTGTGATTATTATTATTATTATTATTATTATTATTATTATTATTATTATTATTATTATTATTACTATTATGTTGTTGTTGTTGTTGTCAATTGGTAAATAAATAAAGTAGTTTATTTGTTATAGAAATTATATACACAACTCAGCAGATGGACTCAGGACAATGGAGCAAGTGCTCACCATAAGAGACTCTCTCCAAATATACTTTTTCACGCAAAGCACTTAAGTGTATACTGCCCTTACCTCAACCACTTCAGCTTGGTGAGCAGATTACAAGCTCTGAAGCCCTATTAACAATAATAACTTCGTGTCGAGGACGCCCTCGCAGCGCTACGAAGCTCGTAAGCTGTTGAGCAAATATATGGCAAGCCGCTATGATAAAGATAAGATGTACAGATCTCGTAGGTAGACACTAAGTGCTTTGTGAATCCCAGCACATCGGAGGAGAAGGACTCACCAGAAGGTATAAAAGCCAAGAGAAGGAGAAGGAGGCCACAGAGTATGTAGCTGACAGCGGTGGGTATCTTCCTGCCCCAGCGGTCAATGATGGGGGCGGTGAGCGAGTACCCGGGCACCTCCATCAGCCCCCCGAGAATGATGTAGAGGAAGGGGTCGGCACTGTAGTTGTCACCGCTGAGGTTAAGGCCGTCAAAGACCAAGGAGACGGCAAAGAAGTCCAGACACACCACTACGGTGACCAGAGTGACGGCGCGGGTGCTGTGAGCGAGCACGGGCGGCGCCAAGAAATAAATGCTATGTTATGCAGTTTATAATTATGATCATTACATCTTATGATGCCATTATGAATTTCTTTTGGATTTTTAATGCACTCTAATTTTGGGCAAACTAACTCAATTTTAAATGTACAAACATTTATGAAAATAAATATTAAATTTAAATTAGAGCGTAAGAATGCAGGAACCAGTGTCTGTGAAGGATACTACTCCTGCACTGCTAATTAGCAGTGGCGTCCCACAGGATAGTATGCTTCCTCCACTCCTCTTTCTCATTTACATTAATGACCTACTAAATGCCACACAATACTCGAGGTAGTACTAATGACACAGCCTTCATCTTCTCAAACACAATCCCACTTATTCTAAGTGATGCACTGAATACTGAACTAAAATAACCCAAGGTGCTCACTACCAACAAACTCTTAACTTTGCATAGATATATTGCATATGACGGAATTTGAAAATCAATCAACCAATCAGAGAGATTTAAGCATAAAACAAAGCCTAAATTCAGTGCTGAGCAAAGGGAAAATTCTTGGTGTACACACAGACAACAAATTGGACTTGCAATTGGAGGGTAAGACCCTTACCTGACCAAGGTTAGGGTAAGACCTTTGTCAGGTAAGTCTTACCTTTACCTGACGAAGGTGAGAGTAAGAGAACACCCACCTGATGAGAGACGGAAGAGACGGAGAACAGGAACACCGCTTCCTGCTCTCCTCCATCGCCTCTTTGCTCGGCTCTGCTGCCTTTATTGGCGTCGAGGACTGTCGAGGCAAGGCTACAATTAATGTCGGAATACTCTATAAATATCTCTTAAGTATTCTACTAAGTAACCTCTGTAATCTGGTCCCTTGTATTTGTAATTGAAAATATTATTATTAATATTATTATTATTATTTTACAACAGGCAGTATTGTACACTGACTTCAGCCCCATTCAGAGTTGCAACACAATCACAATCACTGCACGAGAACTATGAGTACGACTCGAGTACTGATGAGCCAGTATTGTACTGAGGTTAGCCAGTTGAGACAAATAAATATGACTTATTTTATCGACACATCTGAATGATGTGTCTAGAACTCCTAAGTAGTTATATCTACTTGTAACAGCAAAATCCTTTTTGCTGTTACTGTGAGATCTTCCTGACATTTATATTCAGTACTGTATGTAGAGTAATATAATTATCTTCAATTCCATATTTACCGTCTATTCAACGTCTATTTGTATCATTCCCATTTACAAGTCCTAAAATAACGCCGATATGCTTAATCCCTATTTCCTTCAAAAGGAGCATCCTATCTCTTTTATTTGTTCTTTTTATCTTCTCATTCGTTCTCTATTTTCGTTAATTAATTTCTTCGCGTACCTATTATTCTCTTCAGAAACCTGTTCTCTCGCACCTACATTTCGTTCACTTGGTATGCATAAATTCAACGTTTTTTCCTCTTCATCAAGTGCTCTTGATGATGAGCACTTGATGATGTATGTCTGTATACATGGCTATTTCACTGGAATCAGCTTTCAATCTGCTGACATTTGGGCGAGTTTTGTTTATACCTCACATGCGTCGCTGCAACCCACATCAGACGCCAAACCCTACTGCTGGGTGAACAGATGTCAGGAAACGTTGCGAAAGGTCTCAACATTCACCCCAGACAAAGGTTACCCTAGGTTCTGACCTCTTCCTGTATGATCTTCATGAGGGCTCGTAGGTCTTCTTCAGGCGGGAGTGTGGCGTTGTTCCAGCGGGCGGCCTTCTGCAGGATAGCGAGGGCTCGCTCGTGGTGGCCGTTGACAATCAGCCAGCGCGGGGACTCGTCCATGAAGCTGGCATGGGACACAGGGAACGCTATGAACAGGAAACGCAATGTACTGCAGACGAGGAGTCACAATAACGTGGCTGAAATATGTTGGCTAGACCACACACTAGAAAGTAGAGGGACGACGACGTTTCGGTCCGTCCTGGACCATTCTCAAGTCGATTATACAATCGACTTGAGAATGGTCCAGGACGGACCGAAACGTCGTCGTCCCTTCACCTTCTAGTGTGTGGTTTGGTCAGCATTGTACTGGTAACTTATCAGTAACTAGGTAGGGCAAGATTTGTATTTATTCTGTAATTGGTCTTACTTTAATTTGTTTGACCTTGTGTGAATTTGCTCTGTAGATGAAAGAGATAAATTATGTATATATTATAGTTATTTTAGTTTGGTTCATTTGTTATGCACCCCATACCCATCGTATGGATGATGGAGGATAGGTTACAGAGGCACATAATGGGCTCAGGGACTAAACTCCAAATTTTTATTTAGCTAAACAAGTTTACAGTTTTGATAAGGTAGTTACATTTAATGTATATTAGCATTATATTCTTTTAGGGACCTCGTAGCCTGGTGGATAGCGCGCAGGATTCGTAATTCTGTGGCGCGGGGTCGATTCCCGCACGAGGCAGAAGCAAATGGGCAAAGTTTCTTTCACCCTGAATGCCCCTGTTACCTAGCAGTAAATAGGTACCTGGGAGTTAGTCAGCTGTCACGGGCTGCTTCCTGGGGGTGGAGGCCTGGTCGAGGACCGGGCCGCGGGGACACTAAAGCCCCGAAATCATCTCAAGATAACCTCAAGATAACCTCAAGATATCAACAACGGGTTCGAGAACCACCACAAGAACAGTAAGCTAAGTCGCCTACATATGCGGTGAGTTAGTTTCATAATTGATTTGAATTTCATGCAAGTCACCCACAATCACTGGGCAGCGGTGGAAAGGTTACAATCGCCCACATTTTCTACCTAGAGTTAACAAACTGGGAATATTTGGCTAAAAATTCTAGTAGTAGTAGGTGGCTTTGATTGAAATATTCACAGGTTTCTTGGACATTTGTTATAGACCTGTCTCTAAACTCACGTATCTGTTGAATTATTGTTGTTTTAGATTTAGCTACTCAGAACGAAGTATCCATGTAGCGCGGGCTATGGTGAGCTCGTAAATTCTCTCACGTATCTTTTCGCACTCCATTACATAATGACGGGAAGGGGGGGGGGCGATGGGAATACTTTTGCTGATAGTTTACATTTAGACAAGATTACCTCAGCAGGTAATGCAAATTATATACAACTTTTAATTCGAAAATATCACAATGTTGCATTAACTCTTGAAATGCTCAATTCCAGTTAGGAAAATACGTTTGTATACATTAATTTGAAAATAATAATAATAACAAATAATTTTAAAGTTTCTTTTCCTTGGATTTACACAATTTCAAAACAATTAAATTCTTATATTAATCCGCAGACCTGAAATTCAGCTCAATCGCCATCTGTTACCGTAGTTTTTTATAATGCCCAGAATAAAATGAAATTATAGCTAGGTTAACTAAAAAAAATACCAAATGTGCTCGTAAATTAATGTTTCGGTCTATTTTCTTGGATACGATGATGCCAGAAGCGCCAAAATTTGTCTAATTAACGACTGTATATTACAATAACAAAGTTCTTCACTCCTACAGAGTTTTATTAGTAGCAGATACATAAATTATAGCTATTTTAAGGAATTGATTTACCTGAATTTATCTGAGGGTTACTAATACTTTAGTGGCCTTAACGAGGACAGGAAGCTGGCGGCTTGTCAAAGCTCCCTCCATTTGTCCTAATGATTTTTTTTCAAGCAGGATTTTAACATTTAGCAGTGATTTGGCATTTACGGTTTCTGCGGGTAGGCGGTTCCATGGGTTTATAACCCTGTGGGTGAAAAAGCATCTTCCGTTTTCAGTCCTATTAAGCTTGAAATTGTTGTTCCTTGCTGGTGCTACATCTCCCGGGAGTACAGTCGGGTTAGTTCTCGACGCACAATCGAGAATTCCGGGTTCGAATCCCGGGTAGGACAGAAATGGTTGAGCACATTTCCCTTCCCTAGCAGTGAGTAGTTACTCATGAGGTCAGTCAGTTTGTTGGGGAGGGGGGGTTGCATCCTGGGCGGGGTCAGTAATTCGGCCCTTCGGGGGGGGGGGGAGCCTCGATAAAAGCCAAAACGAATATGAACACAGTCTGGCTTCCTGTCTCCCGACACAATGAATTATGAATTATCTGACCATTTGAAGAAGTTGTCTGGATCTATACCTTCCAAACTGTTCAAGATGACTTTAGCTTTGGAATGACTTTTGTTGCTCGGTGTTGCACTTTCCCCAAAGCAGCTGTCTTTCTGAAGATGAGGTCTCCATGCTTGGATACAATAACCCAAGTGATTTATATCACTTTATACCAAGCTCGAGATTTATATAGTTGAGTAACTATACCTTCTTTTCCCTCCAGTCAAAGTTACGTCTGGCTATTCTCATTATTTTCCAAACTCCCATTGTCGGAGACAGGAAGCCTGGATTTAGGCAAATCGAGGTCCCCCTAAGCCATCTACTGTTCTTTCCCAGCCTGCAACCCACAACAATTTAGGGAAATTATAAGCAGAACTAAATTCTGTTGATTTTTGCTACTGCTAATTTACATAGACCAGTGTGATCTTGTGTGCCGTTATACGTCAATTGGCGTATGTCGCAGTCTAAGGGTTAACAATGTAGGTTAGCTCGCATAAGAGCTACACAGGAATGTTTCCCCAGAAATGAGGTTATTCTGAAAAAGAGATTACTCACAAGTAAACACGGAGGAGTTACTCAAAGGAGAGGATTACTCACTATAGAGGAATGAAGATGAGTAAGGTGGGGAGAGACACAGCAGCTTGCAAGTACCTCCAGTCACGTATGAAGTAAGCTACGCCGCCCCAGGCCATGGTGCCCAGTGCCCAGGGCAGGCCGGTCAGGATGCCCACCGTGCCTCGGTGCTTGGGCTCGCATACCTCCATAGCTGCCGGACGTCAATACATTATGAGGAGTTAGGTACACAAGGTGGAATGTTTGTGTGCAGTTATTTATTATTAGGACTAAAGTTTCACGTACATAAGTGTAAAAATTGCCTAACTGAAGTTACTGAATGAGATTTAGATTTGTGGCGCGTGTCACGGTTCTGGAATGTATTATTGTTGTCTAGGGGAATAAGGCTTGTAATTATGCCAAGGGGAATTCAAGGTGTAGGGAAAGAGCTGAGTTTATATTTATTTATAATTATATTTATATTTATAAGACACAAGATATATTACATTGCATAATTCACTCCTAACAACTCAAGGTCATTCTGACGGTAACAACATTACCTTCTGTGTAATGTTGTTACCTTTTAATAACATTAACTGTGCACACCACCATCACCTCCACACCTGTTAACCTAAGACGGTCTTTCCTTTAAGTTTACTTCCCATTGCACATTTCACAAGTACTCTCATACTGTCATTAATTCTTCTCTGTTCTGTAGCCTACTCTCCTCTCTGACCCCTTGACTTACGTTCATTGATTCAGTCATTATTCTGAATGACATTCAATTCAGTCATATAGTCACAAACCGGGACACAATGGTCGTTGGCTCCAAATGGTATTTCATGATGTTTTCAATATCTTCCTCATTTTGGGTGAAGATCATAGCCAGCCGACTGACTGCATCTCCCACCTTTCTCTTCTGTTATCTTTTAAATGTTGTTTTTAAGGATTTCCTCTACAGAACTTCCACTAATTTTGCCCTCCACGTTTTCCCCATCATAGGGGGGGTTTCTCGACTCCCAGTCTGTCTCTAAATGATTTAGAGCTCCCTCTCCATGATTAGTAGTTTATCTTTCATTCTGTGTGCTGCTCTTAATACTCTGTGTTTGTGTCTTTACATGTCTGTTTGGTCTTCAGTTGTTTGCTAGTGGGGAAGGAAGTGGTTGCATATTACCAATTTTTTTCCACCTGGTATCACAGTTCCAGTCTGTGTGTGAGTAACAGTTAAAATTACCGCATTCATATTAGCCAGTTCACATGCCCATGTAACACACAACATAAGCAAAATAGTTGGCTGCAGAAAGTCCATGAATACCAGCAGTTTTAAGGTATGGAAAGCTAGGAGTAAGACTGCTTGTATTCTCCATAACTGGCAGTCCTCTCCAAGACAGAGGTGAGGAGGGGTGTGAAGGAGGTCTCACCGTAGATGAAGAGGGTCAGGAGGTTGACGGAGCCCATGAAGAACCTGACGACGAGGATGGCAGTGAGGTTGCTCAGGAAGCACAGACCCACCGACGTGGCCACCGTCACCGCCTGTGTCGTCACCACCACCACCCTCCGACCGTACCTTACCAGGGAGGGAGACACGAGGCAACACAGTGAGAAGGGGAATTGTCCAGGGGAAAAGGCGCCAAAAGCCATTATGACTATGTAGCACTGGGAAGGGGTCAGGATAAGGATTTGGGATGGGACGGGGGGAAAGGAATGGTGCCCAACCACTTGGACGGTCGGGGACTGAACGCCGAAAAAGGCAGTTGAAAAGGTGAGAGGCAGAGTGTGCGATATAAAGACAAGTGCAGCAGGACAAATACATATCTGAATGCTTAGTAAGATTGGTATGCATATAACCCAACAGATAATCATTTATGTCATAAAATGTGTACCGAAAACTCTTAATATCGTATCATAGAGAGGACAACAAAACTAACAAGAAACCACACGAAGAATATCACGAGAAAATCACACGAACGTGATATTATCAATGAGAAAATCAATTGCAGCAACGAAGTAACTCTCGAACTGGCGATCATGGAAGTCTCAGTCGTGCACCTTACCCCTGTACCACGACTTGGTATATGTTATACAACCTGGGAATCCATTGAATCCAAAGGAAGTGTTGATTAGCTTCTACTGAAGCCTGTCCAAGTTTTACACATAACCCCCTAACACTGGAATATGCAGCAGTCGCAAGCTGAAGAAGATCTCAAGAAGCACATCATCGAACTGGAAAAGATGCAAACACATGCAACGAATTGACTTCCAGAACTGAAAGACAAGAGCTATGAGGAGATGCTAGAGGTCTCAAATATGCCAAACAAGAAAGAAAGAAAGAAAGAAGCGATAGAAGAAAAAAGAAGCGATAGGATCACTACGTACAAAATAGTAACGGGATTCGACAAAATGGATAAAGAAGAATTCTCGAAACCTGGAACTTCAAGAACAAGAAGATCATAGATACGGAAACAAAGATGCAAATAAAATTAGAAAGATCACTTTTGCCAACAAAGTAGTAGAACAAGTTAGGTTGTAGAACAGAGTGGTAGAACAGAATGAGCTGAAACAAGTTAGGTGAGAAGGTAATGGACGCCAAAACCCTTCACAAGTTTCAAAGCGTTACTGAGAAAGAAAGTTACAAAGAGTACTGGGAAGACGGGACACCACCACGAGCGCAGCTCTTATCCTGTAACTACACTTAGCTAATTACACACACACACACAGATACACACGTGGTAGATGGGTTGGAACAAGTTAAGTGAGAAGGTGGTGGAGGCCAAGACCGTCAAAAGTTTCAAAGCGTTATATGACAAAGAGTGTTGGGAAGACGGGACGCCACGAGCGTAGCTCTCATCCTGTAACTACACTTAGGTAATTACACACACACACAGATACACACACTCACCTGTCGGCCAGGTACCCTCCAAGGAGAGGGCTGAGGAAGGTGCCGAGCATATAGACACCTTGGTAGGTGGCCCTCAGGTGCTCCCGGCTACACACTAGGGAGAACTGTGAACACAACAACAACATCACATTAACACTCCCCTCCCACACACTGACCAGTATCGCCATCCTCCATGATGGCGGCTTTGTTTACATTTATTCAACAGCTGATGAATTGCGAAACGTCCCAACCATATTATTATTGTTATGAACAACCTTCGGAGCTCGTAAACTGTTTCATAAATGTCAACAAAGCCACCGTGACTGACGCAAGATGTACAGGTTTCGTATGTAGAAACGATAGTACTTGATGACTCCTGCACGATCTCTCTATCATTTGCAATCCCTCCCCCCCACCTCCCCTTGATATGCTGACCAGCTCTATAACATTTACATGTCCTGGTTTTCTCACCTGGTGGTCAGAAAATATGGTTATCAATATCATAACCCTGATATATCATAACTCAGAATGATTGTGATGATAGCATCCCCAGGGTGGATGGCTGTGAGGATAACATCCCAGGGTGGATGACTGCGAGGATAACATCCCAGGGTGGATGGCTGTGATGATAGCATCCCAGGGTGGATGGCTGTGAGGATAACATCCCCAGGGTGGATGGCTGTGATGATAGCATCCCAGGGTGGATGGCTGTGAGGATAACATCCCCAGAGTGGATGCATTAAGAGGACATCAACACCACCCCCACCACCACCAAACACTATCTCAGTATCTACAAGGCCAACACCGAAGTGGTCTTATCTCCGTTGTCGGGGGACATCATTTAAGCATCAAAACCTTTCTAATCTCCTTCCTGTGTTCCTCCGCCGTGTGGCACTTCATCCCGTCGACAGAATTTGACACACCGATCCCAGCATTGGTGTCCTCGTGTTGGGCTCCCCGCAATAGGCTACCCACCAACTAACAGCAATACTCGAGTTCTTGTTTTAAGTTCTTTGATATGTTGCGATTTTCCCAATACTAATATGTTATTGTTTTCATCTTCGGGTGAGATGGATGACCTACTAACATTTCGACCTATCCAGTTTTAGCTTTAATAAAGAGTTAGGCTCTTGTTACCCCAAATCTGCCCGCCTTCAACTGCTTGTGCTTCAGGTTGGTCTGGTATAGCACTAGGCTGCGTCGCGGGCAATATGAGTAAACACCAGTCCCTCTATCACCCCGGGGCCCACTGGTCATGTGTATCTGGGGGTCGGTGTATCTGGGGGTCGGTGAATCTGGGGTCGGTGTATCTGGGGGTCGGTGTATATGGGGGTCTGGGGGTCGGTGTATATGGGGGTAGGTGTATCTGGGGGTCGGTGTATATGAGGGTCGGTGTATATGGGGGTCGGTGTATCTGGGGGTCGGTGTATATGGGGGTAGGTGTATCTGGGGTCGGTGTATATGAGGGTCGGTGTATATGGGGGTCGGTGTATCTGGGGGTCGGTGTATATGGGGGTCGGTGTATATGGGGGTCGGTGTATATGAGGGTCGGTGTATATGAGGGTCGGTGTATCTGGGGGTCGGTGTATCTGGGGGTCGGTGGGGAACGGTGGTTGCCTCCCGAAGCGCCAAGGGGATACAGGTAAAAAACAACAAAATAGTCCAGAACTAAACTAAACACAATGGGGTGCACAATAAACTAGCCGCCTCCTGCGGCAATAATAACAAAAACAGTGTATTGAGGCCAGACATAAATATATTAGCATATTTAACAAGAGGGTAAATATAAACATGTTGTGGATTCCTTCTCACATTGGCCAGAGGAACGTGATAAAGTTAACGCCCTTGCCAAGGTTGCAGTAAATAAAGACAGTGTTGAACGGAATCTTGAGTTATCAAATAGGTCCCTTAAAAGTGTCATTAGACGAGAACTCCTGGATGAATCTGAAGAATGTAGAACAGTGCAAACTGGAATTAGCAGGTCCATTGTTTATCACAATGAAATGTGTGAAGTAAAAGATGTGTATGGGGCAAGTAACAAAATCAGTAGACTAACAGACGTTGTCACAGCTCGAATAAGACTTGGTTACATGTATCTCTGGCAGTTCGGCTTGAATAGGGATGAAATAAAGTGTGTGGACAAAGACAGGGACACACACTCGAACACTATATCTTGGATTGTAGTACAATTGAGCCATTTAGAGATAAATCTAAGCTCACGTTGTATGATATGGCAACCTATCTTACTACTAAGGATAAAATGCCTGAAATCCTTGCACTGTATCCTTATTTCGCTTCCAGTAGATAAACGACATAAGAGATTAAGAAACAAGTAGTGTATTGTGAAGACTAATAATAAACAGCAGCTCCCCTGTGACTCTGTATTATCTCCATTGCTCAATCAGTTATGTATTAGCGATAAGACCTACCATTAATGTATAATGACTTACTGTATATAGCTCTTGAAACAGAACATTCTCTGTAACTAGCTGACATTGTAATTATAAGGTTTGAAGGATAGATGAAATTGTTTATGTAATAATCTCCGTTGAGGTCTGATAAAGACCTTTTGTGCTCTCTGTAATGCTTTTTGCGCTACCGCTCACAGGATGAGTATGGGGTGCACAATAACATGCCGCTTCCGGCGGCAACAATGAAAATCAACAGTGATGGTAAACCTAGAAATTGTGGTACACCTCTAGAGGTATAAGTCCAGTCTGGTATTCTAGAGAAGTTAATTTGGTTTGATGAAGAGTTTAAGACCAATTAAGAAAAGCTTACTGATCACCCAGCAAGTATACTTTAGTCTCAACATAATTCTGGACCAAAGTAAACTCTGGGTGTATGGGGTACACCTCTCGGTGAGTACACCCCTTCTGGCATTCTGGTGAATGTGACTCATTCTCTACAACATTTAGCCTCGTGCAGCTTCAGACTTGCGGGAGTCCGGACGATGCCCACCACAGTCCTGTGTTCACTCTACGTCTTCCAATTTCTTAGACAAATGTTTCTTACTTAATTATAGTCATTAATTTAACTAACGTAGTGCCTGGGACTCGCGGTGGGTACCCCCCTCCCCCCTCCAATGTATGTGCAATACCTGAGACCAACACCTGAATCGGTCTTACCTGGGACGCGGTCGGGTCAAGATACCTGCTCCGCACCTTCCCCCCCCCTCCCCCCATGCTGGGTACTGAGATGGAGACTCAGTCACCAGAAGACATGGCTACTTCTCACGGCGTTATTAACATGGACCCTGAAAGCAGCCAGTCAGACGAGGAGGGCGAGTATCTAGAAGTTCTGACAAGGAATAAGAAGAAACGAAGAAGACAGGAGGCAAGGCGTAGTGTGGACAGTAATACACTTAACGGAAACGATAAGAGAATGAAGAACGACGCCGAGACTGATGCAGACAAACGGACGGAACGATGTTAGGAAGGTGAGGATCAGCGGAGATGGAGGCTTCTCTTCCCTGCCTCATGCACGTTGGCCTATCATCAGAAGCTGCTGTGGACCGTCAAACTCGGAAGAGAACACCGCAAGTTCGAGCCCCTGCTGAAGGAAGGTGTAAACAGACCTTACTTAACGGTAGGTTCTATGGAGGCAGTGACGTTTCTTAGCCAGCAAGGATATGATGGAATTCTTATGGAAATACCGGAGGGGAACGAGAAGCTGACGAAGGTAATTATCTATAAATACCCTCAGATTCTGGACCCCGAGTTTATACTCGACGACCAACGATTTGTGTGGGCCAAGCGTCACCTTATTAAAGGTGAAGCTAGGAGTCAGGTGGTGGCTCTAGTGAGAGGTGACGTACCCGAGAAAGTGTTCATCACCGGGGCTGGCTACAGGCATGTAGCAAAGTATGTGGAAGAGCCCATAATATGCCTGAAATGCTGCAGATGGGGGCATAAATCCTGGAGCTGTCAAAATGATCCACGATGTCGTTTCTGCGGAAAGTCTCACCTCTCTACTGTGTGTAGAAACAGACTGAATCTGGGTGAGAAAATAGTTCCTAGATGCTGCAACTGTGGAGGTGTTCACAATGCGAGCTCGGCTGTGTGTAGCAAGAGGCCGAGTATGGCTGTTCTCCGGCCGGTGAATGTTACAGAGCAAGCAAGAGCTCTTACCCAGACACCGGGAGCACAGCAAAACAGTCTGCCCCAAACAGTGCCAGTGAACCGGACGAATGCGTGGGTAAAGGAGTCACCTTTACTTAGGCAGGCTCCAGCAACAAGCAGCCACGCCACCACTCAGGACTCCGGCAGTGACAGTGTAACGGTGAGTGAAGTGGCTACTGTGGCTCAGAAAGAGGGTCATAATAATATGGTCAAGGAAGTGTGGGCTGAACTTAAAAAAGTTGGTGAGTTCCTCCAAAATCTTGGGCAGAGAATCGAGTCCATCGAGGCTAAATTAAACGTTCAGGAGGTCAAGGAAAATCACAAAACGGTGAAGGATAGTCAGGATATAGTGGTTGAGACAAAAATGAAATATTGAGTGATGAAATGAAGGAAAGTGAAGTGTGTGTGAATGATGATAGTCGTAGGGAAAGGAAGAACCCTATAATTACACATAAAATGAAGGAATCATTTGGGCCAATAATGGACGTCTCAGGGCTGAAAAAATCTCTTGAGAATCGCAATGTCGCTTTTACTGGTGAACTTGGGAGGAGGTGGGAGATGTTATACAAGGTATGGCTATCATTTAGTGAACTTATTGGGGATGACTTAGGCAATGAATTGATTAATAATGGATCACCCTAGACTGAAAGTGTTGTCATGGAATGTTAATGGTTTAAGAAACAGGGTTACAGATGTTCATTGTTATGTGATGGGAAATGATATTGATGTTGTAGCTCTCCAAGAGACAGGGGATAGGAGTGAAGGATTATTGAAATTAAATGGTTATAAAGGGTTTCACCTCTTCGCTGCAAATAACATCAGAGGCACGTCGATTTATGTTAAGAACTCCATACCAGCAGAGTTAGTAGAACCGTCATCAAAAACGCAAGGTATAGAGAGTGTCTGTGTTAAATTATCATTAAGGGAAGGGGAATTTATTGTAGTTAATTTGTATGTATCCAGGAACTGCTTCGACGCTAACTATCTACCTGACTGCATTTATA